ACTCCTACCACCAATTAAGCAGTCAATAGGGCAAGCTTATCTTTGAACAAACTGCTTTCTTCCTCCGCAGCACAAAAATAAATTGAAAAAACTGGAAGCCTGACGCAGCCTTTTAAAATTTAATGGAGCAGGCAAAGGTATTTCTCTACCCAGTATAAGAGTGTGTGAGTGTGCATGCTCACACTTTGCAAATGCTCAGGCCTACAAAAGTCAACTGTGAGGTTTGCTACAGGGAAAGACTCCCTCCAACACAGGCAGTTAAAAGCTGAGTTGCAAAAGCCGTTTCCCCTTTTCCCTAGTTCGCTGTAATCCTAACAATCCACTTCCTAGAGTTCCCCGAACAAGGTGATCCGATCCGAAGCAGAAAACCTCCCTTAAACAAAAGGGGAAACCTGGGAGGAAGCCAGGATGTCGGAAGATAGTGAACGGGAGAGAGCGCCAGCAGCACATGGCAAGTCGGAGACCATGTGCCTTACAGTTCCTGGAGGACGGCGGCTCCATTCCCTCGGGGGGATCGTGGATCAACCAAATCTTACCCTTCCCCTCTCTCAAAATTACCAGAACACATAAATTTATTTGTGTTTTTTAATGCACGTGATTATTTTTTTCTCAACGAGCTTTTCACGCTCGGGGGAAAAAAACAAACACCCCAATGGCGGGCAGTGGACTAAAATTAGCCCTTAAAACTCTTTCTAGAGATTCCAAGTTGACCGAGGCAAGAAAGGAGAAAGGAAAGTACACCATGTGCCGGGCGGCTCTCCCAGCTTACCTATCAAGGGCAACGGCTCTCGGGGGAGGGAGTGGAAGTACCCCACGTCCCGCAAAATCGGGGGGGTTTTTTTGAGGGGGGAGACAAGTCGCTCCAAGTCCAGTTTCTTTCTTACCCCCCCTCCACTCTCCCTCCATTAACAAGAGTTCAACTTCAACCCAGAGTAGGAACCGGGAGGGGGGGGAAACCACCCCCACCCCCAGGTCATATTTCACCCCCAAGCCTTGACGACCGACCAGCCAGCCACACACACACTCATTTTACTAGGCAATACTATATATACACCTCACACCCGGGAGCGAAGAACAGATAACCCCCCCCCAACCAGGGCCGCCCCAGCAAACCTGCCCTGCCTGACAGCTCGCCTCGTCACCCCCCGCCCCGGAGGGCTCCACAGGCAGGCAGGCGCCCGACGCCCAGGCCCCAGGCCCGCCCCCCCCCAAGCCCCCGGCTCCCGCCGCCGGGCCATACTCACGGTTGGCTATTTCTCCCCCCATCTTGTACTTGTTCACGACCACGTCTTCCGCGATCGTCAGCTCGGCCGCCTCCTCCTCGCCCGACATGGTCGGACTGAGCCGTCGCCGCCGCCGCGGCGCGCCTTCTTCTTCTTCTTCTTCTTCTTCTCCTCCTCACAGACGACGACACCGCCCGGCCTCGAGCCCTCCCTGCCGCTGCCCCCCTGCTGCCGCGTGCCCAGGTCGTTGTCGTTCAAGCCGCCGCCGCCGCCGCCGCCTCAGTAAAGAAGACCGACTGCGAGACAGGCTGCAAGAGAAGGAGCGAGCGAGCGAGCGCGCGGGCTTTGCGCGCGGCACGCTGGGAAGCGAGTCTGCCTCCGAGGACTACAACTCCCGTCAGGGTCCAGGCCCAGCCAGGCTTCGGGCGCAGCGTGAGGTACGACGGGAAAGCTGAACCCCGCGCGCGCCCTTCTTTTAAGTGGCGTCACCTAATGGCCAGAGGGGGAATTGCGGGCAGCTTGTTGCGCCTTCGCCCGCCGCTCATGTGGTGACTGACGTTCGTTCTAGGTCGTCTTCCTGTCCATATATTAGCGCCGCCTGGAAGTTGTAGTTTGGGCGTGCACGTGTATTCAGTTTTGCTGCATATCCGAACCGACCCTGGGGCGTTGAGATTAAACTTTTTGGGTTCTGTCCTCAGACTGTTAACTGTTTTCTCCACTCCTACATACTTTATTCTTTTTGAAGATTCACTCTTTGTCATGCTTTGTTTTCTCTGAAAGTCTTAAAATACCCTGCCCCTTAAACTTTTCCCGAAATATGATTTCTGTGAGTTCTAAACCTGACAGAATTAGATGCCCGTAATCTAATACAATACTTAGCTAAGGCATTGCTAGAGCTGAACCGAGTGCTCCTTATTACTTTAGAAGTCTCTGGGTGCATTCACAAGTGACTGTAATGTAATGTAGTCAGATATGTGGCTAACTTATTCTGGTGTTCTTAGGAACACCAGCCTATCCTTCAAAGAATTTGCAGTCAGGCCTGCATTTTATGTACTGTAACCTGTGTTTCCTGTTAACTTATTTTACTCAGTGATAGTGACAAGAACATGATCAGGCTGCCTTCCTCCGCTTGGCATTAATTCATTTACTATTTATTTTGCTGACTTTTTTTATCAAGGGAGGAATACACTAGCTTGATCTAGCATAATGTGTACTTAATAAAATCATACTGGTGGCTAATATTCCATGTCTGATGATTGCAACTTTTTAAATATATAACTCAGACTCATCTCTTCCCATGTCAAGCATGCAGCCTGATTCTATACTTGTAAATAAGTAATAACAACAATAATAATGGGACGCGGGTGGCGCTGTGGGCCACATGACCCGGAAGCTGTCTGCGGACAAACGCCGGCTCCCTTGGCCCATAGAGCGAGATGAGCGCCGCAACCCCAGAGTCGGTCACAACTGGACCTTTACCTTTAATAATAATAATAATAATAATAATAATAATAATAATAATAAAAATTATTTATACCCCACCCATCTGGCTGGGTTTCCCCAACCACTCTGGGTGACTTCCAACAAAATATTAAATTACAGTAGTCCATCAAACAGTAAAAGCTTCCCTAAACAGGGCTGCCTTCAGATGTCTTCTAAAAATCTGATAGTTGTTGTTCTCTTTGACATCTGGTGGGAGGACATTCCATAGGGCGGGTGCCACTACCGAGAAGGCCCTCTGCCTGGTTCCATGTAACTTGGCTTCTCGCAGTGAGGGAATTGCCAGAAGGACCTTGGCGCTGGACCTCAGTGTCTGGGTAGAATGATGGGAGTGGAGACGCTCCTTCGGGCATACTGGACCGAGGCCGTTTAGGGCTTTAAAGGTCAGCACAACACTTTGAATTGTGCTTGGAAACGTACTGGGAGCCAATGCAGGACTTTCAAGACCGGTGTTATGTGGTCTCGGCGGCCGGTCCCAATCATCAGTCTAGCTGCCGCATTCTGGATTAGTTGTGGTTTCCGGGTCACCTTCAAAGGTAGCCCCACACAGAGCACATTGCAGTAGTCGAGAGATAACCAGAGCATGCACCACTCTGGCGAGACAGTCTGCGGGCAGGTAGGGTCTCAGCCTGCGTACCAGATGGAGCTGGTAAACAGCTGCCCTGGACACAAAATTGACCTGCGCCTCCATGGACAGCTGCAAGTCCAAAATGACTCCCAGGCTGCACAGCTGGTTCTTCAGGGGCACAGTTACCCCATTCAGGACCAGGGAGTCCTCCACACCTGCCTGCCTCCTGTCCCCCAAAAACTGTACTGTCTTGTCAGGATTCAACTTCAATCTGTAAGTGTATTCAGGGGTTTATAGCTAAGAAAACATGCATAGGATTGTATCCTCAATGTGGCTTTTATAGCCGTAAAGGTCTTTCCCTCTTTTAAGAGGCAGACACACTGTCCTCATTTCTCATGTTCCAGGATCATCAGTTTCCCACAAAGTTGACTATGACAGTACAATAATTAATTACATTTGATCCGTTAATTTCTCCACAAGCCTTGATGGAGGGAGTGAAGGTCACCAGGCCAAGCTGACCCAAATTCATTATTTCCTTTATAAGTGACTTCATACAGCAACAGCATTTCTTAAGGATTTACAACACCATACAGAATTTTACAGATTTTGCATTTTACAGATGGGGAACTTCTTTGAGGCCAACCAGTGTCATAGCCATGAGTAAACAGGGATTTGAATCAAGGGCTCCCAAACCCAACTGCAGCACTCTCAGGGCTAGCCCAATATATTTTGCTAGGTGAGTCAAGAGACAAAAGGACGACACCATCTCCCCATTGCATGAACAGAAGCCAACTGGACTGGCAGCTGAATCTTAATGCAACACTGACAACTCGGCAGCATCCTCCAACACACCAGATGCAGCAGGCTAATTTAGGGGGCTCAGGAGGAGCAACATATCTGCCCCCCCCCATATTTGCTGCCTGGGGTGGTCACCTTCCTCTGTTTATTCGTAGGGCATCCAAGCGCTCTGTTCAGTTTGCTTTCACCGGATCCTGCTTCCATTCTTCTCTGACCAATAAGGACACAGCAAGTCCCTTTTGATGGAGAGTTGGGCTGAAAAGGCCTACCTCAATTTTTTCCTGTAACAGTTGCAATGTCCTGTCATGTGCAAAACCCTTCCCACCTAATTCCAGCTGGTTGTGGGAATTCTGTACATGCTTCTGTTTACTGAGTTAAGCTCTGGCTCAAGCCCTTGACTTGTTTCTGGTGCTCCTATTGATTTGGAGGACTCCTCCATCTCTGTCAAGAGAAGGATGCCTGTACAGGCTTTCCTTCTCTTGTTGGCAGCAGAGGGAAGGAGGTGCTCACACAAACCTGGGGCAAAAATGTGCAGATCTGGCACTGATGTGGTTTGATAGCACACAGTTGAGTCTGTGTCTAAGTTTCTGTTCTTAGACGACTAACTTGTCCCCAGCGAATTCAGCACATTGTTTGCAGCAGTGGCTAGCCCAATACCTTGAGAAACCTAAAAGCAGCAGGGTATGAGGGGACACACTCCCCCTTATTATATGTATGGTGTTTCTGTTTAAAAATTTGTGGCTGGCCATGCCCCACAGCTGCCATTTTGTGAATGGTTGGATTCCCAACAGCAGCCATTTTGTGGTGGCTCCTGTCAAAATTCCAAATGTGTCCACAGGGGCAAAACTTTAGGGACTTTTGCACTACTGATTTTTATCCATCATTGTAGTCAGACATTAAAAATGCACTTATAATGTCACATTTTTTTATTTAGTATTCAAGCACACACAAACTTTTATTTTTTTGAGGTCTTCAGTAACAGATAGAGCCTCTGTCAGCAAGAACTGGGTCATTCTAGCTTAGAAGGTAATTCATATTCAACACTTGCTCTGCAAGGAAAAGAGGTCTGAACTCTAGCCCTAAAAACATACCTGTACCTGTTGCCACAAAGCTTATGAGGAACTTCCTTCAAAAAAGCTCAACGACGTCCACACTCAGTAGATAAGATGATGAAGAGTCTATCCACAAACTAGTTTAACCATTATTCCTCTCTTCACTTGAGAAAGACCTTGGGAATTGTAGTTTGGCAGGGAAGCACTTTAAATTATAACCAGCACCAAAACTACAATTATAATCAGCACCAAATGACAATTCTCAGTATTCTCCGAGGAAATAAAACCAATGTTGTGAAGCTGTCGGCCTTCAGAGAGAACTTCAGCGTGGACTGAGTGTGTCAGGCATTAAAGTAAATAAAAAAGAAAAAATTTGCCTTCTGCTCTGACAGGCAACCACACTGAGCTTTACCTAAAAAATGAAAGTGCTGAAAGCACTGCCTCCAGACAGGTTACGTTTGAAATAACTAAAAAAAGGTTTGTTATGGAGCCAACTTTACTCTGTATATTAGCAAGCTAAGGTGTTTTTTTTTTAATGAAAAAAAATTGGCCCGAGGAAGGTTTATGTTACAACTGATGCCAGAGTATCTTATTATATAATTTTCTAACACTTAGGTTTGCCAGATTTGATTTTTTTTTTTAATGGCCTTGCTCCTGTGGCTTTGACAGCAGCCTGATGTACACAAACTAAGCATCTTTTCTATATCACTTTGGCTGCCATTCTATCCCTTCCTGCTAGGAAGTCTTATTTAACTCAGATAAGGCTTATTTCTCCATGGCAGAAAATGCTGCTTCTACTCACTTTCAGTGTCTGAAGCTGCTGCTAAAGAGACAGGAATGGGGCCAGGAAAAAATGTGGAAACCTTATGCCGTTTCCATGAGCATCTGTTGCCTGCTAGATTCAGGTTTCTTAGTAAACATTCGATTTGGGCACAGAAAGCAGTATCAAATAAACCCATCTGAGACATCTCTCCTTATGACCGTGATCAAGGCCCATCACCTTCCTTCCAATTTGCTTACATCTTGGGAACAGGAGTTCTCCGGTGGCCTAGCTAATGACAATAGCGGTGTCTCGATTTGTTTGTTTTTTTAAAACACTGCTATTACGGCTTGTTAAATGATAGCTGGGGCATTGCAGAAAGCAATTTAAAGTGTGTAAACATCTGAATTCCTTCCAGTTTTTGGTGGTGTTGGTTTTTTTTAGAGAGGGGAAAAAACCTTCATGTCACCAGTTTCAAAGCATGGCATAAAACCAAAACAACCCAACATGACATTTATGACAGACAATATACACATCAAGATTTGGGGCAAAAAAAATAAAATGTGACACTTTTACTCTACAAATACAAAGACGCAAACAAAAAACACTCAAGCTACGTCAGTCCAATGGGGTTGAGTCAATGCTTTTTGTTTCTTGTGCATCATCGTGTGTAACAATTGGCGTTTGTTAGTTTAATTGTCCCAGTGTTCCTTAGTTTGGCTGTTATCCTCAACCAATTCATATCACAGATGTCTCACTAATGAGAAGAGCAACAAAAATTGAGGTAAATAATGGAGCTGAAACCTCCATCTTATAACCTTGTCCACAGAGTTTGTTGTGCTTTAACTCTGGTTTTTCCACCTCCTCTGTTTGACTATGGTTCAAACCTTTCTCAGGGTTGAGCCCATTAGAACAAAATATGTCTCTTCCACATTCAAAACATGGAGATGGAAAGGGAAATGTGTCCCCTTTGTTCTCGTCACATCATTCTGTACCTGCTTTTTAGCAAGCGTACCCAGGAGGCCCAGCTCCCATGAGGCTCTTGGACTTCTAAGTCTGCAGTCTTATGCATGTTTTATTATTAAATAAGGCCCATTATTTCAAATAACAATGCACAGGATGGAGCACAGAATAGAGAAGTTTGACAAAGCGTGGCTGTTCCTTGCACATACATGTCATGAAGGCAGAAGCTGATGAATTAGTCCCTTCCACATGACTCTTACCAGGTCCAAGAGACCTCTCAAGTCTGAAGCTGCTGAACAGTTACCAGGCTTTAAACTGGACCTCTTAAAAAGTAGTTTGATTTGCATTAATTAACAAATGATGATGTTTATCTCTATGCCACGAAAAGCTTCATGTGCTAGTTCCTGCATATGAACTTCAATTAAAATGCACAGGAGCAGGCCAGCCCATTTTTTCACTGGCCACTTGGTAGCCCTTACCAGGACTGTTTGGGAGCAAAAAAATATGAATTGCAATGTTCTGAGACTCAGTATGCAAAACCAAAGTATTATTAAGCTTGCCAAAGTCCAGCTGTTGCGTTCCAGCACATTTAACTTTCTCTGGAATAAGCCCATGGTTCTCACCAACATTTTTATAAACACCTTGCACAAATATTGTGGTGGCGTAAGCATCAAGGCAGCACTGAACTTTGTCTCTTTGTATTTTCAGGTGTCCAAATCTAAACAGATACAGATCTGTCTGAAATTTAATCCAAAACTGGTTTCACTGCTACTATTAACAATCAAGCTCTGCTGCAGAACTCCAGCCAAGCTAACTTCAGCTTTGTTCCAAGGTGTTGTTTCAGAATAAATTGCTAGCATTTTGTTGTCGCTGCTGCAAGGCGGGATGGGTTATGTTAAAATTAAGCCCTACCACAACAAAGGATTCTACTGAGTAGCAGGTTTCTAGTCTTGAGTTGCACTGGATGAAGTTTCTTGGTTCTAGAATTAAACCAAGAGACCTTCCATTGTATTACAGGATTCTGGTGTGACTCTGGTTTTAGAACTTTACACCACAATCCTAGGCGTCTTTACTCAGAAGTAAGTTCCCTTCAATGTTACTGCCAGGATTGCAGAGTACACAAGGTTTATTTACTACTGCATTAAAAATGCTCCAGCTCTTTAAACTTATCTATCAACATATATTTATGTTGAAAGGCAACAACAACTTCTCTTGAGAAAGATTTCATTTCAGTGAATTTGTCCCTATGGTAAGCATGTTAAATAGCAAGATTTTTCTTTCCTGCAGAGGGCAGTCAAATAGCATATCTAGTGCCCTTCTCTGGTATTAACCAATACTGTACAATCTCTGGTTGGGATGTCACTCTGCTCAGGTACCAGTGCTGTTGGCAGGACCCATGTATATTTGGCTGCTAGTCAGCTCTAAAGATATCACCACACCCTGTAGAATTATAACCCAGACAGAGACTTAAATTTGTTCAATCGGTTCCTGATGTTTCCCACAATGAGGAGAGAAGCAACTCTCAGGGGATAGAGTACCTTGTAAGCACAAAGTCTAAGAACTTGCAAGTCAGAATCAGATTGCTCCCTCAGAATCCAGTCAGTCAATCTCAGCGTTCAGTTTAAATGCACAGCAATCTTCTAGGCTTTTTAAGTTTGAGGAAAACATGGAAATGCGTGGTACTGGTCTTATGTAGGCAGAGTGTGGAATTTGCTCTCATCTGTCACACATTCTCATTTGTTCGGACCAAATAAGATTAAAGGAGGATGGAAAGGTTGCTACATTCCATACAAACCTTTCTTTTTGCAATGGAATTCATCAGCGCATTGATTACATATACAATACAAAATATGCATTACAATAAAAACAAAAACAAAAGTTCAGTCACATATTTGCAATTCATATGAAAAGCCTGGAGGCCAAACAGGAGGCCTCAGAACCTTCTGGATAATTTTTGTCGCCCAAAAAGTGCTCTGTGATGCAATTTAGGAGCCTATCCAGAATGCAGGCCAACTACATAAAGGAGGAATCTGCTGTTGAAACTACAGTTTAGGAACCTTACAGGACTCAGACAATGCATTGAGATCAATTGCAGAGCTTCCCTCGCAAACTTCTTTTTTTCTTCATCAGGTTTGATGTTCCCTTTTTTTTTTTTTTTTGTAAATATCCCTTTATATGACGCAATCTAAAACTTGTGGGAACAAAGTCAAGGTTGTGCACAATACAACTGGCCCTCAGGGTAGGGTGGGGTGATGGAAGAGAGAAGTTTGTTCCCAAATAATACTCTAATGTAAGTGAGCCTGGTTCAAAAGAATTAAAGAGTAACATCATTAAGGCTCATAGTGCAACTTTTCAGCCTTTCGCACAGCACTCCTGAGCTTCAGCACTAAAACTCATCTCCGTGGTCTTGTCACGGATTTCAGCCTGTAATCCTATACCCACTTACTTGGACATAAGCCCCATTGAACTCAGTGGGGCTTACCTCTGAGTAGACGTGTAGGATTGCATCGTGAGTTGCTGCTGCTGTCCTTTTTACTGAGCCCTAGGGTGGCCAGAGGGAGAAGAGGGCAGGGACCCTGTACCTTCTCACAGTTGTGTAGAAGAGGAAAGTTCAGCAGGAGTAGCTTGCAAGTCTGCCTGGCACCTATCCCGAGAAGCATCCCATAATCCCTTTAACCGAGGGAGAGAATGCGGAGAAGGCTGCTTTTCTATAGGCCGCTCTGCTGCATTCCGTTCCATTGCTCTCTCCTGCTTTTCGTTCTGGGATACTCGAGATCCATACTAGATCTTCCACGGGCTGGAGAAAATTTAGGTCGGCCTGCAGTAATGAGCATCTAATGCTAGAGGTGGAAGTCTCTAGCATGTTTGTTCCCTTTCCACTCCTCCCTCCTCAAGGGTCTCCCATCCTGATATGGGAACTGATAAGGCACAAGAAGGGTTGCTAACGGAACGCTGAAAAACCAGTGACAGAGCTGAAAACAAAACCCAGGAGCTCTGGGTTCTAACACACATTTTCTACACCTTAAGTCTTACTGAGAGGTAGGATTGCAGCCCACAAGTCTTTATCTCAGACCCACACTTGGGTACACTGTCTTCCTAAATGAAGTTGTCAGGCTCATGGAGGGGGGGAGCACCATTTTCCTTCATATCCACCCTTATTGCATATATTGTTGGGAAGACACATAAGCAAGACTTCTTCCTTGAGAAGGCCTTCCCTGCAGTCTTTGCAGCCTCCTACAAGGCTCAGCACGCATGCCTCATACTTAACGCCCCCCTGCTATTGGTGGGCAGAGGGTTGTCTTGACGAAGGCCGAAACAGGCACCCCAAAGACTTCAGCTGTTGCTGAGGACCCTGTACAGTAGGGCACTTGGCACTTTGGTGGGTCAGCCCAGAAGACTCTACCCGGCTTTCTAGAACAGAGCTGATTCCTGAAGAGAGTGTGTCATATCCACCTGAGCGCAGACGCCTTCGTGTCCACATAAGCAGTCACTTATCTGTCCTCTTATCGCAGAATAAGCCCTCTCTCTTTGCACGGGAATGGCTCCCAGAGTTTTGGTTGTGCCCGATCAGAGGGTTCCGTTTGCCCTCTTAAGTCCAGAGCATTTGAACAGAAGAGACCTGACTTGTAATCGGTCAAAACACAGTGCAAGGCAGGGGGAGCTGCCATCCAACCCTTGAGAAGCCCAGCGCCGGTTGGTCTCGATACACTTGCCCATTATAGGGTCAACGTCACAGAGGCTTAATGGGTGTTTTCCCTTTTTTCAGCCCACCATCACAACAATGGTGTTGGCAGCGATAAAGAGTAAGGGCTCGGGTTTTTACTCCCAAGCAAAAGGACGAATGAAACCACCAGTCCAACGCTCGCTAAGTCCTCTGAACATCCGCCTGACTGAACAACCGGCTGTGCCAGTAATCTGGGTTGTCGAAAGCACAGTCCGAGGCCTCCAAAGTACGTAGGGGCTTCACAAATCCGTTCTTGGGGCAGGGCGGACTCTGGCAGCCAGGGCACTGCACTGGGGGCAAGACAGCATCCATTTCCTCGTAGCCCTGTTCGTCTGGGGAGCCCTGTGTGATGCCGGAGTCCATATCCGTATAGTCCCCCCGGGAACTGCGGATGCTGCTCAGGGACTTGCTGAGCTTGGGCTGTTTGTTCATGTACTCATAGTCTTCCTCATCCTCGTCCTCGTCCCGGCAAGGCGTGGTGAGCTGGGAGCTTGGCACACTGCCCAAAGATGTGCTCAGCTCAGAGCCCAGATCCATGTACTCATAGCCAAGCTCCTCCAGAGAGGCTGGCCGGGCCTTTGGAGCCTGTGGAGCTCTCCGGTTCATGTACTCGTACTCTTCATCCACTTCGTACACCGGGATTGAGCCACGGACCAAGGAGGCAGCAATACAAGCAGCACGCTCTGCACAGGAGAGAACACAAAGGTTCTTACAGCCTTGTAATTTTGCACTCGCCTGGGGCGACTAACAGTTATTTTCCAGGTAACCAGGTAACATTCCCCACTGAGGCTAGGATAGAGTCATATCTTCATCTGCCACAGCAGAATGTGGAGGTTTGGCTCTCTCATTCCTGCTTAGAGCTAGTGGCTCTTGGGCCAGAACAGGGATGGAACAGCGTGTGCTACTTTTATAGCGCTGCAGGGGGAGGCAGCATTATGAAAGCTGCACATGCACAGTTAGCTCATTCTCCATTCTAGTATTAAAAAAAACCCATTTGTTCTAAGGCTAGAAGGCAGACAAAGGCAGTTCTGTGTGCAGCCTCCACAGCACTGCCTTGTTTAACTCGGGACAACACTGTGGAAGCTGTCCGTGACTCTATTCTGTTGCCATTCCCAATCCCAGGCACTGGGGATAACAAACCCATAGCAGGAGGGGAGGGTAAAAGGCAGTGGCGGCAAGCAGCATGGAGGAAAACAACCCCCAAGTAATTGTTTGCAAGAACCATTTTTCACTGCTAGATTCAATGATCCCACTTCCCTTTTTCAGAAAGCAAGGAGGGGCGAGCTCTGGCCCTTGCATCCAATGTGGCCCTCAAGCTGCTTTTGCTATATTTATTAGAGTCAAGTGTCAGCTTCCTTTGCTCAAGTACCGTATTTTTCGCTCTATAGGACGCACCCGACCATAGGACGCACCTTGTTTTAGAGGGGGAGAACAAGGAAAAAAAATTCTCCCCCTCTCTGCTCAGCGCCCCTTCAGCGAAGCGGCAGGAGAAACGGAGCCCCTTCCATTTCTCCTCCGCTTGGCTGAAGGGGCGCTGTGCAGCTCTCCTTCTCTGCTGAAGCCAGGAGAGTCTTGCTCTCCTGGCTTCAGCGAAAGGAACCCGAAGCCTCCAGAATGCAGTGGGAACTTACGCTCCGCTCCGAAGGCTTCAGGTGGCTATCCCTGAAGCCTGGAGAGGGAGAGGGGTCGGTGCGCACCGACCCCTCTTGCTCTCCAGGCTTCAGTGAAAGCAACGCGAAGCCTCCGGAGTGTGGAGGGAGCGCTCCCTCTGCGCTTCGGAGGCTTCGCGTTGCTATCGCTGAAGCCAAGGAGCCTGTATTCGCTCTATAGGACGCACACACATTTCCCCTTAATTTTTGGAGGGGAAAAAGTGCATCCTATAGAGCGAAAAATACAGTATGTTTCAAACTCTTATGGTGGGAGGAGAGGCTAGACGTGAGGACAAAGAAAGAGCAGGCCACTTAACCTCTGATTTGATGCTCCTTTGATTCCATGAGCAATAAACACAATCAGGTTGAAAACAGTCTGGGCGGGTAGCATTTTTACTTTGCTACTTGGCCCACAACTTTTAAGAGTTATTGGGCCCAATCTAATCGAATCTGTCCTTGGAAGTCAGAGGGGAATGGCCTCCGTGAGTGGAAGCAGAGGTTCATGCAGCTTGGCCCCTTCATCTACCCCCCCACCCTAGAGAGCTTTTCACTGAGGCCCTTCCTACTCCCTAGCCAGCTCCACAAAGAGTCCTTTGCTTGGGGCTGCCCTGACACCAACAGAGATGCCAATACACCTTCCCCATGGCCTTCCGAGCTCCCCTTCATTCTACCTAGTTGAGCTGGATTCAGTTCCAAGTCATCAGATACCTCAGGCTGTAATCCTAACTCTTGGCTGGGAGCAGCAAAGTGGCCATAGCCTTGCCCCTTGTACCAGCCAGGGCAGAAGCAGGAGCCGGGCACATCATAACTGCTGCTTTTTTCCCCCTACACCAGGTCCATGTTCATCCTTGGGTCCATTGCCAGTAGCTAGACCAGATCCTTGGCTAGGCCAGTTCCATCTCCTCTCTCCTCTTGAAATGTCTTGCTTAGCTGCTGCCAATGGGAACCTCCTTGGCAGCTAAAGCCTCGAACCAGTGAAGCTCAGCAGAACTGAGTGGAGCCAGTCAGAGGTAAACTTCTGGTGCAACCTAATCCCCTCCTGTGCAGCAGAACTGCACTACCCGCTTGATAAAGAACAGGCAAGCTGCTCACCGAGAAGACCCAATGTTGGAGAAGGCCATGGCCCAGAGAAAGCCAGAACCAATGAGCTGCCCCTGCAGGTCCGATTCGTTTCTACCCCACCCTTTCCACCTTGGTATTGGTGCGGTCCACTCCAGTCCACCTAGGAGACTGTAGGCTGCATCTCAATACCCTACAGACCCCCTCTGTGATGCTGTACTTACCTCTGCCGTTTTGATCTGGCATGACGTAGCCATTGGCATCTTCCTCTCCATCGGCACTCCCCATTGGGAGCATCAAGCTCTCTCGCTGAGACAGGTAGGCGCTGTCTCCCCGTGATCGCAAGCTGCGGCACAGGCTCCCGGACAACGACAGGTCCTCAGTGAGGTCGTATTCAGAGGTTGTGCCCCGTCCCTCTGAGGACTCCGACACCGTGCGGCCCATTGACTCCTGCCTTATCCGCAAGGTCTGCCGGGAGCCCAGTCCAGCGCTCTGGGTTGCAAAGAATTAGAAATGAGAATATGATTAGCGGTCTGATGAGACCCCACAGGCTCCTATTTCCCCCTGCCTATTGGAAACACAGGACGCGGGTGGCGCTGTGGTCTAAACCACAGAGCCTAGGACTTGCCGATCAGGAGGTCAGCGGTTTGAATCCCATTGCTCGGTCCCTGCTCCTGCCAACCTAGCAGTTTGAAAGCACGTCAAAGTGCAAGTAGATAAATAGGTACCACTCCAGCGGGAAGGTAAACGGCGTTTCCATGCGCTGCTCTGGTTTGCCAGTAGCGGCTTAGTCATGCTGGCCACATGACCCGAAAGCTGTACACTGGCTCCCTCAGCCAACTAAGCAAGATGAGCGCTGACTGGACCTAATGGTCAGGGGTCCCTTTACCTTTACCTTTACTGGAAACACAAATTGCTCACCCACGGGAGCCTATAAAACATTCAACTAAACTCTCCAGAGTCTGGCTACTCAGAAGTAAGTCCTGTTGAATGCGGTGGGGGCTACTCTCAGCTAAGCAGAGTTGCAGTCTGACCAAAGAGGAGCTGGAACGATAGTCACTTGGTCACTGTCTATTGCATGCCAACACAACTTGCGACCCAATGGCCATGCCTGGCAGCGCACCAGGGACTCAATAACCTTCCCAGTTTTGTTGCCTGCCAAGGCTCTGCAAAACAGAAAAGTTGTCAAGAGCTCGGCAAGCCGCAATAACATGGCTGGCAGGCCGCATTTGATTTGGTGGGTCGCAAGCTGTGCCGGCGGGCCTGCTCTAGGGCTGATTGGCATGAGCGCAGCAAAGTCTCTGGCAGAGGCCTGTTCCAGCAATGCTGTCTAATAGGAGTTGCCAGGGATCAAATTGTGCAAAGCACATGCTCTGGCACTCAACCCTTCTACTCTACCCAAGTTAACAGCCTCCATACAAACACACAAATTACACTGCCCCCCCCAACCTGTATCTGATGCTCTTCTCACTGGACATGCCACCCCTCCTTCTGTACACCAGCTCTGATTCCCATACAGATTTGGAGAAAAATAAAATACCTGGCGATTTCCACTGAGGCTGCTCTGATTCATGGGGATGTATCCAGCAGAAGGATTCAGAAGATTTGGGCTCTGGATGTTGATTTTTTAAAAAACCAAGAAAAACAAAGAAGAGTATATAGCAATGAGCCAGGGCAGGGCCAGAATTGGATTTATTAATTCAGTCTGCTTAGAATATTTGTTCAGCAAAAAGTTCTCAAAGCAGTTGACACAGCAAAATAGGGCAAGAATTAAAACATATTAAAACAAAAAAAGCACATTAGTTCTTAAATTTCCAGTATGGTTTTACCATCTGCCCCCTTCCTCCCATTTCCTCTTATTGCTTTGAAGGATAGGGTCAATTGGTGGAACCACGAGGAAAATAAATAATAATACCATGCCCTTTGCACGCCAGTGCAAATAGATAAATAGGTACCACTCTGACGGGAAGGTAAACGGTGTTTCCATGTGCTGCTCTGGTTTCACTCTGGTCATGCTAGCCACATGACCCAGAAAAACTGTCTGTGGACAACAGTCGGCTCCCTCGGCCAGTAAAGCGAGATGAGCGCCACAAGCCCAGAGTCGTCTGTGACTGGACTTAACTGTCAGGGGTCCTTTACCTTTACCTTTTTTATTGGGTTGTTGCTTTTATTTTTGTTAGGTGTTTTGTGGTTTTATATCTTAATTTTAATTCTGTGAACCTCCCTGAAACTCCCGGTTGTGGGGCGGTATATAAATTCAATTAATAACAACAAACAACAACAACTATAGTGGTACCTCGGGTTAAGAACTTAATTCGTTCTGGAGGTCTGTTCTTAACCTGAAACTGTTCTTAACCTGAGGTACCACTTTAGCTAATGGGGCCTCCTGCTGCCACTGCACCACCACCACGCAATTTCTGTTCTCATCCTGAAGCAAAGTTCTTAACCTGAGGTACTATTTCTGGGTTAGTGGTGTCTGTAACCTGAAGCATGTGTAACCTGAAGTGTCTGTAACCTGAGGCACCACTGTATATTATAGGGCATCATAGGCAAGGTTAAGGAGGATTTCTTAATTGTTTGAGGAGGTTGGAGTCTCTCCCCCACGAAGAATCAAGTGGGGAAGGGGAAGGGAAGGTCTCTTACCCGCATGGAGTCAATCCACTGCCTGGACGCAAAAAGGTTATTAAGCTCCTCCTCCTCCAACTCTGTCTCCACTTCCAGTGTCTCCATCTCGTCTAGCTCCTTTTCAGTGAGTGTGGGTGGCTCAACTTGGGGAAGTGGCCCACTCTCTCTCTGAGGGGAAGAAGGAAAAGGTATTACCCTCATAACACTTACCAATGGCTGCTGAGCACTGGCACTTAAGCTCCCTTGGGAGTGTCTAAATGAGAGCAGAACATCCTGATCTATGAAGATTCTTTGGGCAGCATTTGGGTTGATAAAAGGAGAGGCACCCAGCCTCAGGTCTTCCTGGAAGCCCAACCTTACAGGCCTAGATGCACGAAGCCTGGCTAGGGCGAGAGAAGAGCCGTCTGCCACATGCACAGAGGCCTCCTCCCCCCTTCCTCCAAACTGCCTATAAATTCAGAAAAGTAATCCTTGCTGACATATGTCTCATAATATCCAAAATCGCATGCTCTGGCGTAGAAGCTGTTGCGTTGAAAAGTGGCTCGGGTAGGCAGCTCAGGAACAACGTGGGGAGATTTTCACATTTTCAAACAACTTCTTATTTTTTCTAAATGAAAACAACTAATGCTCTGAAGCTGACAATAAATTTAAGGGAGGAAATTCATTTTTTAAAAAGGCAGACTGGGTTTTTTATTTTGTTCAGAAATTAACAAGATGAAACATGAGCATGACCTAGCAAGTGTAACTAACTGTGCAGGACTGATGGAGACCAGCACATCTAGGACTCATGGTATTGATGGAACATTTTTAAAAACAGCCAGACTCACTGAGTGCTTATTGCCTGCAGAGTCTCTACAGCAGGGTGTGGGGAAACCTGTGACCCGATGTTGCTGGATTACAGCTCTCATCATCTCTTAGCTACTGGCCATGCTGGGTGTGGGGGTTGATGACAGCTGGAGCCCAACAATATACGGAGGGCCACAAGTTCCCCTGGTTTGATTTGTAGACTAGACAATAGGAAGGACATTGGGAGCAAGCCAGGACTAACCTTAATCACCAGGTAGCGAGGGGGGTCACGAGCCATACGTGTGAACTCATTGGCTAGCTCTTTGAAGGTGGGGCGGATGTTCTCGTCAATCATCCAACCTGTGGGGTTAAAGAAGATTGTGAGCATCGTTCAGGCAGATACCAGTCATGACAGCTTCTGTGGCCAGGGCAAGACCATCAGCCTGTGGATTCTGGCTTAGGGCTTCCACTTGTCCTGCTATTTTCCTCCAGGAAAACCCAATCTTTACCATTGAATCAGGGGAAAACATCAGTTGGGTTTTCCATGGATTGACATTTACTCTGATTCAGCACTAAAAAGTGGGTTTTCCCAAGGACAAGTGGAAAACCACTCAGACTCGTGCTTTCGTGGAAGTGTGGTTGAGCCCCCAGCCAGTGCCCTAATCTAGTGGTCAAAGTGCATCCAAGGAACTACTGAGTGACATTTCTCCCCAGGAGAGGGGAAAGTGTTACTCTGGTCACGTACATTTTACCATCACCATGTAGACATCAATGGTGCAGATCTGGGGCTGCGAGAGGCGCTCCCCTTTCTCCAAAAGGTCAGGAACTTCTGAAAGGTGGATTCCGCCATAAGGCTCATTTCCAAAGGTCATCATCTCCCACAATGTCACTCCTGGAGCAGGTGAAGGGACAGAAAACGCTCATGAACAGAATGCAGTGGGCCAGATTCAACTACCGTATTTTTCGCTCTATAGGATGCACCCGATCATAGGATGCACCTTGTTTTAGAGGGGGAGAACAAGAAAAAAAAAACCTCCCCCTCTCTGCTCAGCGCCCCTTCCACGAAGCGGCAGGAGAAACAGAGCCCCTTCCATTTCTCCTCCCGCCTCGCTGAAGGGGCGCTGCGCAGCTCTCCCTCTCTGCTGAAGCCAGAAGAGTCTTGCTCTCCTGGCTTCAGCAAAAGGAACCCGAAGCCTCCAGAGCACAGCGGGATCTCCCGCTGCACTCCAGAGGCTTCAGGCGGCTATCCCTGAAGCCTTCGGAGCGCAGCGCGAGTTCCCGCTGCGCTCCGGAGGCTTCGGGTTCCTTTCACTGAAGCCAGGAGAGTCTTGCTCTCCCGTTTTCAGCAAAAGGAACCCGAAGCCTCCAGAGCGCAGTGGGAGCTTCAGGCAGCTATTGACCCCTCTCGCTCTCCAGGCACTGACCCCTCTCGTTCTCCAGGCTTCAGCAAAAGCAACGCAAAGCCTCCGGAGCACAGAGGGAGAGCTCCCTCTGTGTTTCGGAGGCTTTGCATTGCTATCGCTGAAGCCAAGGAGCTTGCATTTGCTCCATAGGATGCACACACATTTCCCCTTAATTTTTGGAGGGAAAGTGCGTCCTATAGAGCGAAAAATACGGTAACTGTCCCTGCCAGCATAAATCGGTGCAACAGGGCTTCCGCTAACACAACAGGGCTTTCCCTCCACCACACACACACACACACACACACCCCACCCATACTGGCTGAGGATTGTGTGTGTTGGGAGAACCTGCAGAACAGCACACTGGGAGGCGTGTGTGTGGACTGGGAGAGGGTAGATCATTCCATCGGAGGAACAGAAATGCTTGCATTGACAGAGCAACCTGCACAGCACTACACTGAATTCCTCCCAGTAGATGTGGTACAGGTGGCTGTTACAGACCCAGGGATATAGTGGACAAAAGCCCAGTGCAAGGGAATGGGCCAATGTGTCCCAGCTATGGCAAACAAGGCAGGAATTGTACCGAGATGTCCTCGCTGCGCAAGTCCCAGCATAGTGGGCATTAGAAGACTCAAATGTGGGTTCCAGCCTCTCCCAATAGGAGGCAGTAAAACTCCTTGAAGTGTAAGCCCAGGCGAACAATAGGGAGCACCAGAGGGCAATGTTTCATAAATATTTGGTCAAACAGTCAAATTAAACTAGGCATGCCTTTCATTGGCAATGGCTAACCTAGAGGAGAAAGTCTCTTGGAACTTCATTCTGTGGTGGCACACTTAGGGAGGCTTGTGAACAAGCTCGAAGGCTCCAGTGATCACCTCAGCGGATCACTTTTCAACCTTGGTTGGGAACTGCACATAAATTAAGAGTCAGATAGTTTGCACTTGAACTGTTTTCTTGATTTCCAGAGACTTGCTATTGTGACAGATTTCCTGAAGGCAACCACAGTAGGAATTGGCTGGTCTGATATACCTACCGTAACTCCACACGTCACTTTGATGTGTATATTTTCCAAAATGTATGCTCTCCAAAGCCATCCATTTTATCGGTGTCTGAAAAATGTAAGGCAGAATGTCATAAATTATAATTAAGCTAAACATGCACACCACATTTGTAAGATTGCTTTCCAATCTGAATGCAACTGGATTCATTTCCTGTGAGTTTCTAAAACTGAATTTTCACTCCTAATTACCTATCAAAACTCATTTTGAAAATCTCATTTTTCACCTTGTTTCCCTCCTCTTCTGAAACCTTTTCAGGTATTCAAGCAGTTTCTTCTGTAATAATTTTCTTTCTTGAATTTACTAGTTCTGTTGGGCTACATGGGGTATGCAGTTCCTCACTCCATAGTCTGGCGGTTGTCATTCAGAACATGACGGAGGCTCAAATGCAGAAATTGAATCTCTCTCTCTCTCTCTCTCTCTCTCTCTCTCTCTCTCTCACACACACACACACACACACACACACTCACTCCCCAATTTAGAAATGATAAAGTTACAAGAATCATCCTCTCTGCTGCCTGCACTGTATCTCACTCTAGTCTAATAGATACCAACCTTGATCTCATTGTAGAAGTATTTCTTGTCATCTGGATACAGCAAGTCGGCAATGCCAAAATCTGCCACCTGTACCTGGCTAGGGGATTTTACCAAAACGTTGCGAGCGGCAAGGTTGCGATGGACCATGCGGTGTTCCTCCAGGTAATACATGCCCTTAACATAAGGAAGGAGAAACAGATGAATGTGCCTGGATTTGTTTTGGGTTTGAACACCTGATTCACAGGAGCTATAGTCTACCCAGGCCCAACCTATATATTTGGGCCCTTCCCACCATAATGAAAATCAATTATTTCACACAAAAGGAGGAGGCAGCAAGCCCTGAAATTGATGCATATCCTGTGTTTCTAAAGACAATTGCCAGTGGTGGAGCAAGAAGATGTGCTGGGCAGAAAGGTAAGGATCTAGAAGTTAAGTTAAATTACATTTTGTGGATTTCTGCTGAGTAGTGGCATTTCCACACTGACTCATCTGCTGAGGAACCAACCCCCAGAATATCTGAGATGGAATTCCAGCACATGATAGAAAACTCTGGAACTTGTTCAAGGGGCATGCCCTGTGTTCACGCTAGACCTGCTGAGGCAAGTTGGTGCACTGCTCTCTCAATTCACGCAATCTAGAACACACTCAACACACCTGCATATGGCAGGGGAAGTTTGATTTTTCTGGTAAGTTTTTCCGGTATTACGAATCTCACTGAGCAACTCCCTGATAACTTTTCAAGGGCCTGCAAGGCTCCCGGAACATCACAGGAAAGCCACTAGTTTGGGCTAGTTTTGATGGTATGGCAAACACTCCGCATGCTTCTGCTGAGACCTTAGGTGCTTGTTGGCATTCTGCAACGAGCCAGAATTATGTATTGCGTAACTAAATTAGCAGATCAAAACTGTGCTAATTACACAATTTACACTAACCCTAGCCAATTGCTTATCCTAATAATGGAGCTTGACTGCTGTCTCCAGTCACCACTTGCAATCAACTGCTGACCATCCTCAGTGACCACAAAGTCTTCTCATGGTAGCAATCTGAAGGGCAGGGCATGGACTCACTACTATGACTTACTGGGAGCAGGGGGGGGGCGGCATGGAGTCCAGCACAGTGCAAATGCAGCAGTGTGCAGCACTGTGCTGACCTCAGCACCACCTTGGCTCCCCTGTCTCCTGCCCTGTTTCACTGACTCCTACGGGCTTTTTTTTTAGGGACGCGGGTAGCGCTGTGGGTTAACCCACAGAGCCTAGGACTTGCCGATCAGAAGGTCGGCAGTTTGAATCCCCGCGACGGGGAGACCTCCCGTTGCTCGGTCCCTGCCCCTGCCAACCTAGCAGTTCAAAAGCACGTCAAAGTGCAAGTAGATAAATAGGTACCACTCCGACGGGAAGATAAATGGCGTTTCCGTGTGCTGCTCTGGTTCGCCAGAAGCGGCTTAGTCATGCTGGCCACATGACCCGGAAGCTGTACACCGGCTCCCTTGGCCAATAAAGCAAGATGAGTGCCACAACCCCAGAGTCGTCCACGACTGGACCTAATGGTCAGGGGTCCCTTTACCTTTACCAGCTTTTGGGTTCTGTTTCACTCTATCCTTCATCCCAACCTTTCACACCACTGACGACACCAGCAACTGGACTTGCCTGATTTGTCTCCATTTCTGTTTTATATTTATATGTTGTCCATGTTTAAGGTTCAGTATGTATTTGCTGGAAGTTCTCTCCGGAAAACAGAAGGAAGGCAGCCTCTCCCTCTGAATTCTGGCAGATCTCTCATCCCACTGAAACCCCTGGTGCCCTGTCCTGTACCATTCTTATTTATTAGGAGCTGTACTGGCCCAGTGGCAGAATCCACTGGGAAAAAGCAGCAAGACTCTAAGTGACAAAGCTTGGGATACAGGGAGCCGTTAAGGTTCCCTACCCCTGGCTTACAGGATGCAGCAATCAGAAAGCTAAACCAGAACTTGGTCGTTTGTATTGGACAAAACAGAAGGTTGCCTCTATTAAACAAACCAGAACAGCACCAGGAAACTCATGGCTCCACCCAGATACACCTTAGCCTGGTGCCACCTAGTGGTTAAACTGACTTATAACACTATCCATTGCCTTCAATCATGCTTGGGATACTCCCTCAACATTTGGAATGCAAGTGGTTCTAAAAAAAAAACAATATTCTGGGATAGATTACCCCCAGCCTTAATTGCCCCGGGAAAGGCCCTTTAATTAACCCCAAAATTCTTCTGCAAAACCCATACATACCTTGGCAATCTGCACACACCAGTTGAGCATCAGCTGTGGGCCAATGGCATCTTTGTTTTTGCGGACATACTCCAGCAGCGAGCCGAGGTCGAGGTACTGGGTGACCAGTTGCAGTTGGGTGCCAGTACAGATACCCAGGAGACGGACAATGTAAGCATGGTCCAGGCTACCTATCGCCATCATGTGCTGTACATAGTAAAAGCAGAAACAAAACACACACAAAAATGAAATCATGGCATCGGAGCAGAAGTACCAAAATGCCAAGTTACACCCCAAAGAGAAGGAACTCGCAGAACTGCAAGAAAAATTACAGGGTAGTGCTAAGTGTAGGCAAAGCCAACAGTGATACCAGTTAGACCAGGTTCACCATGGACAGCTCACTGCTCAAGATGAGCAAGCTAGCTTGCCTGTGCATGCACAGCTGGTCACCCTCCTCCTCTAGCAGTGGTGCAGAAAGGCCTGCAAGATGCCAGGCACATTCCAAGGTCAGATGGATGGCTTCACCCAAGAGCATGGGTAGGCAAACTAAGGCCTGTGGGCCGGATCGGGCCCAACTGCCTTCTGGATCCAGCCTGCGGACGGTCTGGGAATCTCCACATGGATCACCAGCGTGCGCATTCTTTCCTTCTCCCTCCCTCTCCCTCCCACCAGTGCCTCCTCCCTCCCTCCTCCTGGCTTCTCCCTGCCCTGCCTAGAGGAGGAAGGGGGCTGGGCTTTGTTAGTGCCAGCAGCAGCACTCGAGCGGCCGCCATTTTAAGCAGCCCCTCTCCAGAGCCCTTTCACGTGCCGCTCATCATGCCACTGCCGCCAGACCCTGCCGCTCGCATGACACAGGTAAGCTTCCACCGGGGCCTGTGGTGCTCTTGCATCATTTTCCCCACCCAAAATATAGTCTGGCCCCCCACAAGGTCTGAGGGACAGTGGACCAGCCCCCTGCTGAAAATGTCTGCTGACCCCTGCCCAAGAGGAATCCTCTCAAAAGCCTGATTGCAATGCCCATCACCTTCAAGGGGATTTCCCTCCGCCACTAGAGAGCAAGTGACTTTTGATGCTCGTATATCTAGGTATCAGCTGCCCAAATTTGCCACCCAAATTGTACCCCAACTCTGCTTAAAGGTCACCCAGAAACTGGGTGAGTTGAGTCAGCTCTTTCCATCCACGCTTTCCCCAATTTAAATAATCCTCCCTACCAGCCACACACCCCCCAAAAAAATTCCTAGCCACAGAGCCAGGATACCCGTATTGCACCTGCCTTTTAATCCTTTGCTGCTAATAGCAACTTGTGGAAAGGTATTTGAACTGGGGGAATGGTTAAACGCACACTGCCCACAGCACTGTGCCCTCAATCTAAATTAATCCCTATGGCTGCTTTTAAGCAAAGAAAGAGAGGTATTGGGATATACAGTTCTGGATCTTCTATGGTGTATCTAATTTAACGCCCACTTCCCCTATGTCTGGTGTGCTTCTCAAGGGGACTACAAAAACAAGCATGAAGCAGTGAAGGCCACGTTCAGTAAACTTTCCAAAGTGACGTGGGACCCGGGGAGGCCAGTCCTATCTCCTCCTTGCATGCCCTTGTAGGACTTACATCTGTGACAGCATGGAATGTCTGCCGGCCACTTGGGTCTTGGATGACTTTGATGCTGACAGGGATCTTGATGGAGTCTCCTTCTGGAATCCAGACACCCTGATGGAGGGGGGCAGAGAAGATAAACCATATTGTTGATCTGAGGATCTATTTACCATATTTTTCGCTCTATAACACGCACCTGACCATAACACACACATCGTTTTTAGAGGAGGAAAACAAGGCGGAAAAACATTCTGAATGAAACAGTGGATGTATCATTTTTGTGCTTCATGCTGTGGCCACAGACATGTGATCTGATGGTGAATTTGGGGTGACCCAATGCAAAAATCCTGAGAATCCCTGTGGATCCATGCTTTGTAACCACGTTTTTGCACCATTGCAGCCCCAGGCAACAGTGGGTGTGTGATTTTTGGGGGGCAGGCTGTAGCCATGGACATGCTATGTGCTCTGATGGTGAATTTGGGCTGACCCAATGCAAAGATCCTGAGGATCCATGTGGATCCATGTTTTGTAACCACGTTTTTGCACCATTGGAGCCCCAGGCAACAGTGGGTGCGTGATTTTGGGGGGGCAGGCTGTAGCCATGGACATGCTATGTGCTCTGATGGTGAATTTGGGGTGACCCAATGCAAAGATCCTGAGGATCCATGTAGATCCATGCTTTTTAACCACGTTTTTGCACCATTGCAGCCCCAGGCAACAGTGGGTGCGTGATTTTTGGGGGGCAGGCTGTAGGCATGGACATGCTATGTGATCTGATGGTGAATTTGGGGTGACCCAATGCAAAGATCCTGAGGATCCATGCTTTTTAACCACATTTTTGCACCATTGCAGCCCCAGGCAACAGTGGGTGCGTGATTTTTGGGGGGCAGGCTGTAGCCATGGACATGCTATGGACATGTGATCTGATGGTGTATTTGGGGTGACCCAATGCAAAGATCCTGAGGATCCATGTGGATCCATGCTTTTTAACCACATTTTAAGTGGGGAGGGAAGGAAAAACACAGAACGGACAAGGAGCACGAGAGGGGTGTGCAGAGAAGCAGCTGGCTAAGAATGCAGGAGAGGGATATAACGGGAGGGAGGAAAGGAAGGCAAAAGTTTTCCCTCACCTACCCACCCAAGCAAGCCAGCCAGCCAGCTCTCTCTCTCTCTCTCTCTCTCTCTCTCTCTCTCTCCCTCCTGCATGTTTTCCTCTGCTTTCCCCTCTGCTTGCCTGGAGGGGAGGGGCTTTCCCTGCTCTTTGTTCCGTTTGAGCAAACACAGCAAGGAAACAGAGGAGGGTGGGCAGTAAGACCCTGAGGCAGAATGCAGGAAAGCAGCCGCTTCCTCTTTTCAGGTTTCCCTTCTCCGAGACGCGCAATTTGATTTTTGCCTGCTTTTTTTTTTGCTTCCACGCGCGCCATTTGGCTCCAGGGACCACACATTCGCTCAATAACACGCACAGACATTTCCCCTTCCTTTTTAGGAGAAAAAATCTGCGTGTTATAGAGGGAAAATACGGTATTAACAAACTAGTAACTGCTGAGGACTCTTCCGAGACCTCAACTCTCATCCAAGATGGAAGCAAACACTGATTTTTCATTTACCATTAGAATCTCACCCCCCCCCAATTTCCGTTCTCATGGCCTGCACAAAATACTGGAGCCCCTCCCGCCCCGGAGAATGCCTGCCTCCAAGCACTCTAATCCATCTATGTCCCACCCCAGGTCCATCTCTGTAGCAATCTTCTAGCTCTGAACCCCTCTTCAAAGGCAGATCACTGTTCTCTGCCTCTGCTTAAACCAGCCAGAAGCAGAAGCTGTTCCTCCCAGGTCTCGGGCTTACTTTGTGCACTGTCCCAAACACTCCGGATCCTAAAACTTTCAGCTTCTTTAATTCTGTCTCCTTGAAGATTCGAGCCAGGACTTTATTGGCTTTCTCGCTGGGATCCAGGGGCTCCAAACTCTACAGAGAAGAAAGAGACCCAGAGACAGACAAATAATTCAATCCATAGTCGTCAAGAATCCCTGTTTGAAAAGGACATCACAATTCACCGTCACTACGCTCCTAATTGACTTTGCAGCATTCCTGGTTTTTTAAACATGTGTTCCTGTTCTTTTTTTGGCGGGGCGGGGGCTGTCTGTCTGCAGCTACGTCTAGCGCAGCTGCTAGATACAACTGTGGTGCCAAACAAACCCATCTGTGAAATCCTTTCAAACACTTCAGCTAACCCTTACTTTCTACTGGAGTTCATAGAAGCAATGAAGAGGATTTTCTAATTCTATAAAAGACCCATTGAACAGGCACTCTTAATTCCAGAAGATGCCAAGCTACAAATAAAGTGTTATTTCATTGCCCCTTTTTCTCCTTCATGCCCAGTTCCCTCATTGGAAAGAGCCCACAATCAGACTCCTGGATAACAGCTCACCCACTTACTGCCATATGTTCAAAGCTGGGTCAGACCAATGGCCCCCCCAAACCCAAGTGTCCCGGGGGGTGTGGGGTGACACAAGTTTACAGTCTCACCTCTCCTCTCTCCAGGTATCTGCGCATGGCTCGCTTCTTCTGAATCTTCTTGCCACGGCAATACAGAAAGGTGAGTAAGATGCAGGAACACATGGCAAAGAGGCAGCCCACAACCGTCAAAGCAATCACTGTCGGAGCTACCCTGGAATGCAGATGCCAGGCGTTATTAATAGTGAAGTCTGGGCACGTGTCACAGTTCTGCACAAGCATGGCGAAAGCACAAGAATTAGTAGCAAGCATGAAGTTCAGCCATCTGAGAATCCCACCTTTACATACACACACACACACACACACACACACACACACATTTATTTATATATTTATAAATATATTTATTTACAGTCGTACCTCTAGATGCGAACGGGATCCGTTCCGCAGCCCCGTTCACATCTAGAAGCAAACGTAACCAGTGATGGCATGTCTGCGCACGCGCGCATCGCTTTTCCCCGCTTCTGCGTGTGGCGTCATTTTGAGTGTCTGCGCATGCACAAGCGGCAAAACCCGGAAGTAACACGCTCCGTTACTTCCAGGTTGCCGCAGAGTGCAACTCGAATGCGCTCACCCCGAAGCACATTCAACCTGAGGTATGACTGTATATATTTTCTGGCCCTCATGGCTGCAAAACTGTTGTTTGAAGGCATGAATGACGGGGGAAATCCCAGAAGAGAATTTTTCCATAGTTCCTTGCCCCTCCGATGGCTAGAAGAGGCAGAATAAATGGGTAAATAGAGGGAAATGGGCTTAACTTGATTGGGAGGGGGATAAATCTGATCAACCTTATAAGGGTCATTGAGAATAATAAATGTGAAACGCACAGAGGTGTATACTAAGCATAGTTCTAAGTCACAGAAGTATCCAAATTTTTCCCCTTGATACAAAATCTGGTTGAATGGTGCAGAATAATAATACTCATAATCATTTTTCACGCAGTGCATACTAAAGATGGGTGACAGCAAGTCCTGGTGACAGTAAGATGCATCAGTACAACAAGAACCATGTGTCTGGCGCATGAAGCAGAGGTGCAGCCACCAGAGGTAAATTCTCTTCAGTGTTTCTTGGTGTCCTAAGCATCCCCAATGTTGAAGGAATTGGCAGTGGTTCTGCCTGTCCTTCTGCAGGACTTTTGCAACTGGCAGTCCTTTCATCCCAGAGCTGGCCCCGTGCCAATCTTCATTATTCCCCACACCCCACCCCACGTCCCAGAGGCTCAATACGAGTTGCAAAATGCAAACAAAACCCAAGGAACATGCAAGCACGCTAAAGCTACAATGCCATGGAAGGCAAGTCCTTTCCTTGGCCAAACAAAGCTCCGTATCATAGGGGCTTGTGTTCCCCTGTCGCGTTGCGATGCGGCCCTCAAATGCTTTTTCCTCGTCATGTCCCATATTCACAGGACAATTCGCACAGAGGGCACTGGAAGAGGGGCAGCAAAAGGAACTTTCACATGGTGGTGGGAGCTTCCTCCGCCTCGTAAGGGAGGGAAAGGGTGCAGGAAGGAGATCAAAGCGCAAGGATCCACTCCCTCCAGCGACAGGCAGAGGCCTGCTGCGGCCCTGCCCTCCTTTCATGCCGCCCACAAAGGCCTCCAGGCAAACTGGCATTGGTGGGAGAGAGCAGGGGTGTGATTGTGAAGGGAAAAGAAAGGTGGGAGTACGGTTGAGGGGAATAGCCCTTTCAAGCATCTATTGGGTGAGGCAGATAATTATATATTTTTTTAGTTCTCCCTCTACAATCAATAGACTGTGAGTTCTTTTTATGTTCTTTCTGACAAGCCTGAGTGTTTGAGACCCCTTTGTTGACACAAGAGCCTGCCTCCTCAGTGGAAGGACCATAAAAAGGGGGCAACAAATGGAAGCGAGAGAGAGAGGCTGCGATCTTGGCCGGTTTCCCTGCCTTGGCCTGCTGAAGTCTTGGCAGGCCTAAGACGGCAACTCCTTAAAGCACCGGCGTCTGAAACAGGGTGAATTTGGGAAAGGATTCACGTTTCAGTTTCGAAAAGCAACTTAAAAAACAGGTGCCCCCCCCCAGCTGAGAAATCAGAAGGAGGCAGAAAAGGACGGGGTGGGGGCAAGGAGGGACATAATTTGATTTAAAACCTTTGACATAATTTGGGGGGGGGGGAGGCCAAACCATTTGAAAAACCCTGCAGTTTGATAGCTTCAAGCAGGAATATCTTAACTAGACATTAGAAGCTATGCTATGGGCTAATGGCTATTAAGCAGTACACAGAAGCTGTTGAGGTTAACTACCAGTTGCCGGGGGCAAATCCTCGGGAGAAAGACTATCTGGTCTCCAGTGGCTTTAGTCCATGTTAACACAACAATAGCAATATTGTTTAGCTTTTATATAACAACTTTTAAGGGTTCAAAGTGCTCCATGCACATTATTTCAGCCATCCTCGTGGCTACCTTTTAAGGTAGGTAAAGGATGGAACCTAGGAACTTGAATGCAAATATGCTGCTCTGCTGTTGAGCTTCATGGCGATAAGATCTCTTCTTGGTATTTGTAATCTGTAAGAGTAAGCACACTGGGGTGTGTGTGCAATTTATAAAGCTATCCCCGCACCCTCACTAGGTGAAGGGGTGCTGATAGGTACCTGTGAACAGGCAGTTCCTCCATGAAGCAATCTTCAAGCTGTGGTCCATCACACCTATAAGGAATGAAATCCAATAATTATCCCGGGAGACAGAGAATCCAAGAATCTAGGGAAACAGCCTCTAGCAGGAAAGTAAAAACCACAAACCCCAGTTTCCGCCTGCAGTAGACAGAAGACTATATAAGATACTGCTCACCCCTAGTTGACGACTAACTATGATTTAGGCTGGCAGGCATAATTTAAAAGTGTTCGTGTTGCTCCCTTAGCTGCAATGGCATTTAAACTGTAGCTGGTCAGGGCTCAAATGTGTGCAATGATTTTATAAAGTGTCATATTGATGCAACACTAACATTCTTATACATATATATATATTATTATATTTTTCAAACGTTTTCACAATTACCTTCAAATCAAATACACTGTCTCGTAAGGTGGCTTCCCACAGTGTTTTTACTCAAACCTTTCCCACTGCATTATATCTTTATCTATTGCAGAACATTTCTCTACAATTATTTTGTCGTTTTTCTTCCTCTGCTTTTATCTCAAATCCCGCCCACGATTTCATTTGACTGCAATGTTGTTGTTTTTAATAGTCCACATGTGCTTTTACAGAACAGGTGCTGTTGGTTCTTCTTCACTTATCTTTTCCGTTCCCTGATCATTTACTTTTTTTTCGAAACACATGTCACTCGGCTGCACTTTATGATGATGCTATCTGCATGCAACATACTATGAAAATAAATTAGGTATTATTGCTGAAACTCCCAATTTCTCACTTACCCCTGTGTGCAGTTCTCATGGCACGACCGGCACTCATTGTTGGCATAGGGGTACTTGAAGATGAGCCCCTTTACCCCTACGATGCCTGCAGGGCAGTTTTCTACACAGTGCGGCCCATCCTGGTAGTTAGCACAATGCATACAGGCATCAGCACCCTGAGGAGCAAGAGGAGGTGAGTTGAGGAGACAGCTCAGTGATAGATCAACTGCTTTGAATGCAGAAGAACCCGGGTTCAACCCCTGGCGTCTGAGGAGAACATACTGAATGTGACCTTGGGCTTAGCAGTGCCTGCGTCATTCCCTATTCTTTCTGAAACTATAAATAAAGCTTTCAGTAAAAGTAATCTCTAGCACAGTGTTTCCCAACCTTGTGCCTCCAGATGTTTTTGGCCTACAACTCCCATCATCCCTGACTAGCAAGACCAGTGGCAAGGGATGATGGGAATTGTAGGCCAAAAACAGCTGGAGGCACAAGGTTGGGAAACACTGCTCTAGCATTCCCTCCACAGACCTCTGCATGGTCTGAACTTTCCGTAACTAGCAGGAGGAAAACTAGGAATATCCTAAGGTGTTCGGCCACCCAAGAATCTGCAGCCTGTGGCCTGAAATGTAAGCCCTAATATTGCCTTGCAAAGTGACAGGGAGACCTGGGTACCCTTCCCTGCATTTAATCTGGGTGAGATCTGGGTCATCTGGCCCTGAAAGCTGCTCCATTCATTAAATAAAGGCAGCGGCAGCCAGAAGCAGGGATTTCGTGACTTTGGAACCTTCTTCCTGAAGAGGAATAACAATCTGCAGCTCTGTTGGATTTTGGAAGCCACTGCAAAACGTCTCTTTTCCAGTAGGAATTTGCCTCAATTTGTTTTGTTCTGCAGATACTTCTTTGTAATTTCTTGTGTGTTTTTGTGCATTACTGTTTCACAATGCTGTCTGTTTTTGTTACGATCCGCTCACTGGCTTTGAGCTTTGGAAAATAAGTTTATAAATATATACTATGAAAAAATGGGTGTGGGCATGCCTTTCTGCATCCACTTTCCTCGGCCCTTTATACTATAGTGGAAGCTCGATCCTAAAAGTATGTCATTACCCCCCAAACAATTGCTTGCAACGCTTGTACAGCTGGCCCAGTGCTTAAAAAGAAAGCAATGTAACAAGGAGGCAGGCAAGATGTACTGGAGTAGGACCTGATCCCACAGCCTGAAACCTATACCTCAAAGGCCATTACTTTTCATAGAAGACCTAGTACCTGATAAGATATTGGAACACAGGCACTGCTCCAAGTATTATCACTAAGAGAGAAGCAGGGCCTTTGTTGCTGTGTCCCCAGAGCTATGAAATAACCTCCTAGAAGTGGTTCATGTGAGCACTAGTTTCCTGGCTTTCAGGAAAGGCGGGATCTGTTTAGGAAAAGCATATAGCTTACTTGCAACTCTTTCACATTATTTTATGTGTTCCAAGCTGCATCGAACATAAGACCACATAACACCAGTCTTGAAAGACCTACACTGGCTCCCAGTACGTTTCCAAGCACAATGCAAAGTGTTGAAGCTCACCTTTAAAGCCCTAAACGCCCTTGACCCACTGTACCTGAAGGAGCGTCTCCACCCACATCGTTCCGCCCGGACACCGAGGTGCAGTGCCGAGAGCCTTCTGGTGGTTCCCTTGCTGCGAGAAGCCAAGTTACAGGGAACCAGGCAGAGGGCCTTCTCGGTAGTGGCACCTGCCCTGTGGAACGCCCTCCCACCAGATGTCAAAGAGAAAAACAACTACCAGACTTTTAGAAGACATCTGAAGGCAGCCCTGTTTAGGGAAGCTTTTAATGTTTTATAGACTATTGTATTTTAATATTTTGTTGGAAGCCGCCCAGAGTGGCTGGAGAAACCCAGCCAGATGGACGGGGTATAAATAAATAAATTAGTAGTAGTAGTAGTAGTAGTAGTATCATCATCATCATCATCATCATCATCATCATCATCATCATCATCTGCAAAGGTTGGATATAAAAGGCACACATATCTTTGCCACCCCACCAACCCTTCCCCACCACTCCAGAGAAGCTATGTGACATTGCCATACCGATCCATTGCAGGTTAGGCCTCCTTCAATCTTCTGGCACTGCGGGTGACATGGGAAGCACGCCCCGTCTTGTGCAAATTCTCGAACATCCCTACGCAGAGCAGAGCAGGAGAGGAGAGGAGTTAGACACTTGGGGCCAGGGTGGAACGAGAAGGCAAAAAGGGAAGCAAGTGTCCATGGCTGGCTATTTCTTACCCCTCGTAGAAGCTGCAGGAGTCAACACAGGTTCCATCACGGCTGTAGTTAAGGCAGGAGACACACTGATCTGGGTCAGGACCCCAACAGCCATCGGTGGAGCAAAGAGGATGACAGACCTTCCCCTCTTGGGCTGGGAGAGAAACAGAGTGCCTGGATCACATCTGGGACCAGGGCCCCATTTTAAGTTGTGGGGAGGGGCATGTGCTACCTGGAAGGAAAATGCTTCAAGTCCCTTTCCCACCTCCCTGACCCATCTGTGGACAAACCAACAAAAGGGGGAAAGTCATAGATTTACTATTTTAAACCCAACATCATTTGGCTATAGCAGGGGTACAATTCTCTAGATGTCTGGCCACAGAAACAACTTTATTCCAGTTAAGACTAACTAGCACAGGGGTCAGCAAACGTTCTTCAGCAGGGGGCCGGTCCACTGTCCCTCAGACCTTGTGGGGGGCCAGACTATATTTTTGGGGGGAAATGAACGAATTCCTATGCCCCACAAATAACCCAGAGATGCATTTTAAATACAAGCACACATTCTACTCATGTAAAAACACCAGGCAGGACCCACAAATAACCCAGAGATGTGTTTTAAATAAAAGGACACATTCTACTCATGTAAAAACACACAGATTCCCGGACTGTCTGTGGGCTGGATTTAGAAGGTGACTGAGCCAGATCCGGCCCCCAGGCCTTAGTTTGCCTACCCATGAACTAGCATGTTCACAGTCGAAGTGGTATCCAGAAGCAAGCATCTGCTCTGATGTTGCAGTGGGCAAGTCACTGACTCCCATGCACTGAGTTGCTCAGATGGGCAGGTAGCATAAGCCAAGGAAACAGAGCGCAATGGAGACTGCACAATTGTTTTGCCACTGGAACATATGGGTGGGATTCAACTAATTTGAATCCCGCTAGCGGAAACCCACACAAGGACTTCCACTAGTGCATGGGGTCGTCCCCCCCATGTCCTGAAATTGGCTGGCAGGGAGGGGGTGGTTGATAGAACCCCCAGCACACTATGCAGGGAAGGAGAGGGGAACTGTTTCATCTGGCAAGGCGAAATGCTTGTGTTGAAGGAACACTTGCCACACAGCTGCCTTGAATTCCTCTCCATAAGAACTGTTTGTTTGTTTGTAAATAATTTTTATAAATTTTCCATTAAGAACATCCAATTTATATCAAATCAAATCATAATCCAATTCAAAAAAATAAAAATAAAATTAAAATAACCAAATTACAATCCAAATTATTAATTATTAAATTTCATACAGACTTCCCATATTCTGGACCTCTGAAGAACTCCTCTCACATAGTTATATTTCTGCCCTCTTCTTGTTGTTTTCATATTTTCCATTCCATCAAGTACTGTTTGCACCCTACCAGAGTTCAGTGGCATCTACTACACAGTGAGAGTGACTGAGCCCTTTACAAGGATAAGAGAATGTTGAAACTCCTTTGAAGGAGTTGTTTGGTTTGGTTGATGGCAACGCGGCCTAGTGCAAGAAGCACCAAGTCCCCTAACTCCAGGCTCCCTTATCTACAGCTTGCCCACTCACTGCATTTCCTGGCAGGTTTGTTGCTCTTGATGTCAAGGTCCGAACGCCGTCGGGAGAGACGTTCCCAGTTGACCGTGTTGTAATAGCAAAGCTGCCGGTTCTCAGCGATGTAGACCTTGCCGGCACTGATCTCCCTAAGCGAGCGGAAGTCCAAAGAGGTCACATTCATGTTCTTCATGATCAGCAGCGAAAAGCCACGGCTAGGAAAAGCACAAACCAAAGTGTCAGCCTCAGGAAGAGGAGGAATGGGGACTATGTTTCGGTGGCTGGGAAGGAACAGCTAGTTTCTATGGTTTGCAACCCTGTCTGCCTGTACAACAAGCATGAGCAACTGGCAGACTGAGGTCCAAATCCGGCCCTGCTGTCCACCAAGCCCTGCACAACATATATAGAAGCATGGATTTAGGTGGGGAGGGGACTAGTTTCCAGACTCAGCCATTCTTAATACTGTGACTTTTCAGAATGGCATTAAAACAGCAGCTGTTCCACAGGTAGCCTTAGGCATCACCAGAACAATGAAGCCCTAAGACTCCTTCTACAACTCACAAGCAAGGTGAAGGAGGGTTGACCAAGAGAGCAATTCTTACTTATACAAGCTGCGTCCACCTATGATTTCCAAGTTGGAGAAGACGCTGAAGTTGTGCATGTGTTTGGGCCACGACTGGATGTTCAGGTAACCTAGGATCAAGGATACAAGGTCAGTGATCTCTGGTGCAACTTTCCCTAAGCATTCTCCCATCCTAAGCATTCTCCCATCCCACCTCCAGAGTCCTTAGCTCCCTGGTCTCTACGCCACCTTCTGGGCTCAAGCGTATACTAATGCCACTGTTTCCTCCAGCTTCCACATAGGCATAGAGCGGATGCCACTCTCAAGGAGTGCTGTACTGCTTTTTTGCAAGCTCCCCTTTCTTGCAGGTCACCTGGCTATTTCTTCTTGTGGTGCACTGTGGGATCTACATTGATCTGAGAGTTCCTAGGCTGCTCCTGCCCCACCCAGGCTGGGGTCAATCACAACCTGCACTGGGTCAACCTCAGCCCAGTCCCAGGCAGGCATGGGAAAGAATCTGAACCCAGCAACTTCCCCCAGTGAACAAGGAGCAACAATAGGATACCTTGGGCTTTTCCCAGCAATCCACAGTCCCTTCTCAACTCACATGCATTCCTAAGCCATATTACCACTCTCTAAATTTCTATCTACCCTTCCTGCTTATATACTAAAATCACACTAGGTACCATATAAAACATTTTATTATTTATATAGGTCTTGATTGTCAAAAACAGAAAACCCAAAAACCTCAAAGCGCTTTCCAGAAAAGAATGAACATAAGCAGGTAAAAAAACACCACCCAACTTTTTAATACATTAAAAAAATAATTAAAACCAATGGTAAGCTAAAAACCAGATTAAAATGCACATCAGCATCCTAGGTGTCTGGATAGGCTTGCCTAAATAAATAATGTTTTTAGCAGGCACTGAAAAGGGTACTGTGAAGGCACCTGTCTGGTTAATAGGCAGGGAGCTCCAAAATATAAGGCTCGTCCAGACTTCCTTCCATGCTGTGTTTCCAGACACAGGTCCACAATTTAGAGTGCCATGTTCAAAGGCTCTTTTTATGTTTTGTTTTCTTTCAGTCCTGTGCTTTCCCTGCGAAAACCCGCTCTTTACCGCTGAATTGGAGCAAATGGGCAAACCATTTGTGTGAAAGAGAAAATGCTTTATCCCCTGCTATTGCACCCCTCAAGTGACCCTAAAACCCCTGAAATAGTATAATCGTGAAATAGAAGCAATGGATTGCCCAGGACAAAGCCTGTTTACTCTTGACCATATGCTGATGCAGTGATGGGCAAAGGGTTGTTTATGTAATGCCATGTGTACTATAGAGGCACAGTGAAGGGCGAATGGTAGCTGGTGAGCTAATAGGATAAGGAATATGCATCGCAATGAAGGTCATTAAATATTTCAGATAATTCAATGCATGCGTGTGTGCGAGCGTGCGGGGTGTAGGATTATTCTGAGCAAAACAGGGAGATGTCGTGTCATGGGTGATGTGGAATGGACAACGGGGAAGTTATTAGCATGACGTATGATGTTTGAAAGCTGTGTGAAACCTGCAGTCATTACAGTGCCCATCACTTATGGGACTGTCCTTTACTGTGGTAAAGTTAATACAGGGGTACCTCGGGTTACAGATGTTTCAGGTTACAGACGCTTCAGGTTACAGACTCCGCTAACCCAGAAATAGTACCTTGGGTTAAGAACTTTGCTTCAGGATAAGAACAGAAATCGAGTGGCTGCAGCGGGAGGCCCCATTAGCTAAAGTGGTACCTCAGTTTAAGAACAGTTTCCGGTTAAGAACGGACCTCCGGAATGAATTAAGTTCGTAACCAGAGGTACCACTGTAAAATGGTACGGTCTTGCTTGAAAATTGGTTGCGTTTCTTATTTAATTCCCTACCTGGGACGAACCTGAGAGGTGGTTTTAGCCACTTCCTTGACACGCCATTTGTTCCAATTCAGGGATAAAGAACGGGTTTTTCTGGATAAAGGGGATGGGGAGGGGAAGCACTAGGACATGGTCCTTTAAAGTGTGGAACCTGTGCCTAGAAAGCACATGGCAAAAAGCAACTGTGGATGAGCCTTAAAAGATCAATTTCTTTAAAATGTGGGGCAAGTATTATATGGCACCTTGTAACAGTGCCAGCTCCGCAGACCGAAGTGGTCGAGTGTGCCTGGGCAATTTCACAGGTAAACTGGTCCCAAGTTTTCCGAGACTGTACATACTTATAGTAAAACTTGGCCCGGTAGCAAATCGGTAACTGGTGCAGGTCTCTAAGCAGAGGTGTCATGTGCTGACAGGGTCTCACCCCTGTCAGCAATCATGCTGCAGCATTCTGTACCAACTGCGGCTTCCAGATCAAACATGAGAAAAGCCCAATGTAAAGCACACTGTGGCCATCTGAATATGAAAAAACAAGTGCGTGAACTACTGTGGGCAAGTTTTCCTGGTCCAGGAATGGTCATAGCTGTTGCAAAAGTTTCAGCTGGTAAAGGGGTGCTTCTAACCACTGAGCCTACCTGGGCTTTCCAGTGACAAAGCTCAACCCAGATGCACCTGCAAAAACTCCACTTTTGTGGGGATTGCAACCCATCCAGGGCAGGCAATTTGACCAATTTCTCAGATACGGGAGCCACTCACCCACAGTGATTGAAAGGGACAGAGTCCTTTTTTACAACCCACATTGCTCATGACACAGAGAGTTCCCTGCACCCCAGTTCACCTGTGATCTCTCGCACAGTCTGGAAGATGTTGAGTTTTTCTGGGTCCAGGGGAGCTATGTTGTGCCAGCGGTCTCTGCAGAACAAGAGCAGAAACGGTCAGAACTAGCGGACAACCTCAAAGTGAAACCAGCCTTTTTCTTCGAGAGCTGCTATGCATGATGACTTACCAGAGGAGGGTAATCCCTGCACTCGCAACGCTGATGTTATTTACATGGCTGTGAGAACATTGCAAGACTGTGCTGAGGTGACAAGCCACAAAAAGACCCCCAGCTAATCAAGGGCTCATTCCTCATCCTGGTTGTTAGCCCATTAAAGGAAAAGGTGCCCCAGTCAGTACCTGCCAAAGGTGGAAGCCGATATGGCGTATTTATCACCTCTGCAGTAAAAGAGATGTGATGTCTACAACTAGTCTGGTGACTGGGAGTGGCCACCGGGACCATATAGCACCAGTCCTAAAGGATCCTCAATGGCTCCCAGTACGTTTCCAAGCACTATTCAAAGTGTTGGTGCTGATCTTTTAAAGCCCTAAATGGCCTTGGCCCAGTATCCTTGAAGGAGCATCTCCATCCCCATCGCTCAGCCCAGACCAGGCATAGCCAAACTCTGCCATCCAGATGTTTTGGGACTACAACTCCCATCATCCCTAGCTAACAGGATCAGTGGTCAGGGATGATGGGAGTTGTAGTCCCAAAACACCTGGAGGGCCGAGTTTGCCTATGCCTGGCCCAGACACTGAGGATCCTCTCCTAAGGGGGTCTTCTGCTGGTTCCCTCACTGCAAGAAGCAAAGTTACAGGGAACCAGACAGAGGGCCTTCTCAGTAGTGGCGTTCTTCTTGTGGAACACCCTCCCTTCAGATGTCAAGGAAATAAACAACTGACTTTCAGAAGTCATCTGAAGACAGCCCTGTTTAGGGAAGTTTTTAAGGACCAATGCTTTTAGATATGTTGTAAGCCACCCAGAGTGGCTGTGGGGAAACCCAGCCGGATGTGCTGGGTATAAATAATAAAGTTATTATTATTACAACTATAGACCTACTAGCCCCTTAGATATGGCCTCCAAATTATATCACAATATTTATTAAATAAAATCCAAGAATGGGATAGTAACCAATCCATTATATATGCTGAACAAGCACCAATCAATTTGGTAGACTGAGTAGTGCTACTGCTGCACTGCTGTTACCTAGCCACTCTGTCCCAACTCACAAGAAGTTATATCTTAGTGTAGAGAACAATCTGCTCATACTTACCCTACAAGACCAGTGATAAGGAAGTCCAGGTTGCCCAAGATTTTTGTGCAGTTGATAAAGCTGTCAATATTGCTGGAATCCACTGTCTGATACTTGCTTCCAATTCCAGTCCCTTCACAAGCTGGAAACAAGGCAGGGGGTCAGGGTTAAATGTTTCAAAGAGGTGAAAGCTACCAGCTTAATGTCTCTCCACACAGCTCCCTAACATGTCCCCAGAGCTGATGGAATAGGCAAAAATGACTTGGTAATTGGGATCAGTCCCAAGTTTATATATGTATTTTTAAAAAACTTTTCAATGAGGTTGTATAGCAGGAAAAAGAAAGGGGGGGGGGAGAAATCAATAAAGTACAATTGAACAAATATAAATATCATATTATATTTCCTATGGAATAAGCTACAGGAAGAGGGTATAAAGCCTCTTCTGTACATAGACAGAATATGTAAAAGAAAATCCCAAGAGCCAGTCATGTGTCTATTCGTAGAGTCTCTTCAACAGGCAGCATATGGAGTGGAGGTCTTTAAATCTTCAGAGGTGGAATTAATAAAAGTCAGAAATGGAAAACAAATACAAATCAAGGTCAATTATCACTTTACTTTTTAAATCAAGGTACCCCAAGGACTAATTGCACACACCCATTAAGGGCAAATGCCGCACGAGTATAAGAATGACACATTTGTTTCTTAAAGAAGTCCAGAAGAGGAAGTCCAAGTCTTTCCCGGCAGGTTGTCCGAGTTCTTTGAAGAAATATGCAGCTCACGTGGCATGTGCACAACCTTCACACTCGAAAGGTGGATATGCTCCACAGAGAAGATCTGGGAGCCTCAGTTATGCCTTCCTATTTAGTTTCCTGTTCCAGTAGCCAGAAGAAGCTATGGCTTCGTGTTACCTTTTGGGCAGAGCCCCACGCAAGGCTCACAGATCTTGCGGCCGCCTTTTTCCACTTCCATTTTGTGATTAGGGCAGGTCCGGATGCACAAGCTCTGATCCACCACAAAATTATCTGCAAAATAATGGGAAGGTGGCGAGAGAGAACAGGGGAAAGATTAAAGAAATGGGAGCAACTAGTCACTGGAAACCCCTTAGGGATGTTTGGGGCTAAAACAGGACCTCATAAGTAACTATGAGGCGTTGGGGCTCCTAGTTTTTCACTGAAGAATCCACTCTCTTTCCATTTTAATATGAGAAAAGGAACAGCAGAGGATTATTATTATTATTACTAATATTTACTAAATTTGCATACCGCCCTTGTAGTTCACAGCATAAAAATATGAGATAAAAAACAGATAATACATAATACAAGCAGGGGGGACGACCCCCAAAGGCTTTCAAACTTGAAAAAAAGCAGTGATTTCAGCTACTGTGACTTCTCTCTCATTCTTGATCTGGGAACAATCAGGTTAAAATTAAAATAAAATACTCAAACTCTTAGTGTTGGCTTATAGTGATATTAAACGTCTTATTAGACATTATTTTATTTAGACTTTGTCACTGACACTGTCAATTTATATCTATGCTGCATTTTCCACCAGTACATCTGTACTCAAAGTGGTTCACAAGAAAACAATGTGTGGGCCAGCATAAACGCTTAAGAGGCCTTTGTACATCATGGCCCCTCAATGGAGTTCTGCCACATCTGTGGCAATTTTCCCAGATGGGTTGCAGGTGGTGGTGGTGGGGGAATAATGCCTGAACTGGCCCTGAAGGAAGTGGTATTCCAATCTAAAGGAACACCCATCACACACACAGAGAGAGAAGACAACCACCCCCTTCTCCCCTATAGCCACAACCTAGGACTTACGGGGGCAGTTTTTGACGCATACGCCACCATACTGGTATTTGGCATCCGGGTTTGGCTCCAGTTGGAAGGTGAGCTTGTTGTAGATCAACGGAAGAGGGCAGCGTGTTTCACAGGCCCCATTGTCATTGACCTGCCGGCAGGCCTGTGGTTGAAAAAGCATGTGACAAAAAGTTGAGTAAGATCATGCCCCATCATTCCAGGCCAAAAGCTGAAACATTGAGCCAGATTCAACTAAACCAATGCACTAGTGAAAGCCAGCACTTGGACTCCTGCTAGCGCAATGGGCTTCCTGCTCTCCTCCGCCATGCCTCTCCCACACCTCCCTCAAATGTGCTCTGGAAGGGCAAGAGGACCTCCCAAAACAACATGCAGGAAGAGGAGAGGGGTGACCGTTCCATCAGAGAAGCAGAAACGCTTGCGCTGGTGGATCAGTTGTATTAGTGCAACGCTGATTTCCACCCACTTCATGTTAGATTCTTCCCCAATCCTGAAAGCACACAAAAAAACTTGGCACTAACTCCATGGAGACACCATAGGGAGCTTAGTGAGAAAGGATAACCCACATTTCCCCCAATATTCCATTAAAAACTGTGATTGCAAAGAAGATTATCATTGTAGCTGAACATGGAAAGAAGCCAAGGCAGCCCAGGAAACAAAGGCTCTGGCAAAAGATAAAGATCAGGAGCTGAGCTCAAAAGATCGGAGGGTTGTGCTGGCAGGCAGGTTGTGGGTACAAAAGGAAAAAGGGGCAGATATGTACACTCAAAACCAAACTGTTCCCATTCTCACAATCGTCTCCCTTCCTCAACACAGACCAGTCATACAAAGCACAGCCAAGGAGAGCCGGACACAGAGACTGCTTACGTACAAAACACTCTGTCTTCAGTGGGCCAGTACAGCCTCCTGCACATTCGTCGTGGCAGCATTCATTGGGGTTGGGGCCAAAGCAGCGCTCATTGCACTGGGGGGCACAGATGGTCTTGGTCACTATGGCAGGAGGAGAAAAACGTTGGGTGAGAAGCAGTCAATGTCATCACCCCATCCTCCACTCTAACAGTCGGCTCCTCCCATCTTCTCCTGACCTTCCCAAGACCCTGGGAGGTGGACATAGAAAAAAATTACTGTATTTTTCGCTCTATAAGACGCACCCGACCATAAGACACACCTAGTTTTAGAGGAGGAGAACGGGGGGGGGACTCTCCCTCTCTGCTCAGCCCCTTCACTTCGCTGAAGGGGCGCTGCGCAGCTTTCCCTCTCCAGCGAAAGCAACGCAAAGCCTCCAGAGCACAGCAGGAGAGCTCCCGCTGTGCTCAGGAGGTTTTGGGCAGCTATCCCTGAAGCACCGATCCCTCTTGCTCTCCTGGCTTCAGCGAAAGCTGCGCAGCCTGCATTCGCTCCATAAGGCGCACACACATTTCCCCTTACTTTTTAGGAGGGGAAGTGCGTCTTATAGAGCGAAAAATACGGTATTTAAGGTACAGTTACTACCCCTCAACACAGAAATTTCCCATAGCATGATGCATCTGCAATCCCTGATCCAAAAGTCAGTATATTGCCTTCCCAATTAATGGAGGGTTGGAGCTGAAGGATAGCTCAGTTGGTAAAGAATGAGCCTCTTAATCTCAGGGTTGTGGGTTTGAGCCCCATGTTGTGTGAAAGATTCCTGCATTGCAGGGGTTTGGACAAGGTGATCTTTGTTGTCCCTTCCAACACTACAACTCTGTGATTTACTAGCATTCACAACTTATTTTTTCTAAGGAGGGCTCTTTGAGTGCTTTTGCACCAACTTTGCCCAGTTGAGGAACAATTGGGAAAAGGTTCAGAAAAGGGCAACCAAAACAATCGAGGAGACGGAGCAAGCCCCCTATGAAGAAAGGTTGCAGCGTTTGGGACTTTTTAATAAACTACCATTCCCAGGATTCTCTGAGGGAGGCCATGACTGTAAAAGTGGTATCCAGGTGCTTTAAATATATGCCATTACTGTCAGAGTTAAATCATCATGAAATCTGTTTACTGTGTTCCCCCTCATATGAGCATTTTCTGCCATCTGGCCTCTTCAGTAGCAGCTCAGTTGTTAAAAGTTTCAGAAGCACCTATTATATGCAGGCAGATTGCTTAAAGCAGGTGCTGCCATAGCTTTCCTTTCCAAATTTGGAATCTGTCTATATCACCATGCCAAGTTTAAAAGCAGCCATGAAAAGAATTGAGTCCCTGTTGCTCACCCAAGGACCAAAGCTGGGGTCAGGGGTTAGTCTCCTCCAACCTGCCCTCCAGTACTGGCTGGGCATAGTGGGAGCTGCAGTCCAAAAACATCTGGAAGGTCCCTGGTTTGGGGGGGGGAAGACTGGGTCCCAGGCACTGTAATACTTACATGTTTGACAGTTATTAGGACCAGGCCCCCAGCAGTGACCATTGCAGCTCTCATGACATGGAGAACCTATCCAGGGAGACAAAATGCAACATCAGCCATCTAAACCAGAGGTAATGAGTATGATGGGCCAATAAGCTTATAAGAATCACATTATGTCCAAAGGCCTGCCTCACATGCTATTTGCTTAATATGCAAGGAACCTGATTTAAAGTGTTTTAACCCCACTCTTTACCTGAAAGGGCTTCCAGAGCAGCTTGACACAGGCAGAGAGGAATCTGTCTTATGCAGAGTCAAACAAATTATCTGCATTGACTGGCAGTGGTCCTCCATGGTTTCTTTCTTTCTTTTGTATATATTAGTTTTTTATTTTATTATTTCCAGTTATGCAGTACATTATGAAATAGTGAGACAGCTAGAAAGATAAGGCTTCACTTAACATTCTCTAGTTTCAATTTAGAGGTCAAAAGCAGCTATTTTCGAAGGAGTATAAATATATGTATTTTCCTCCATGTTTTCATACCAAGGATACACATAGCCCTACCTGGAAATGCCAGAGTTTGACCCTGGGACCTTCTGCAAGCAAACAGGTGCTCTATTTAAAGATCATTTTAGATTGGTTATGGTCTGAGCCAGTTTGGATTTATTTGATATATGTTTTCAGGAACCTCATGAGAATTAATTCTCTAGGTGGCACACACACAAAACAAAGGCTAAAAACACAACAATAAAATTGTATTGCAGTAAAGACACAATAAACTTAAAAGACAACTGGTATAAAAGCCCCAACACAGAACAAGCGCAATAAAGAGTCAGTGGTGGTGGACTTCGACCAGGAAGCATGTGATGGAGTCACCTTGTTGAAACTAGGCAGGTTTACGTACGTTTGGTAAGGGCCTGGATGGAAGATTTCTTGGGTTCTCACATCGCAGAAAGAAAACGGGGCACAAATATAGCAGGGAAAAGGGAAGAGAGGAAATGGTTGCATGGGGTTGCATTGTATCCAGGGCAGCTGTCTACCAGCTCCATCTGGTACCTGCACGTGGATTGTCTCGCCAGGTGGTGCATGCTCTAGTTATCTCCCGCTTGGACTACTGCAATGCGCTCTACGTGAGGCTACCTTTGAAGGTGACCTGGAAACTACAACTAATCCAGAATGCGGCAGCTAGACTGGTGATGGCCGCCGAGACCATATAACACCGGTCCTGAAAGACCTACATTGGCTCCCAAGTACGTTTCCAAGCACAATTCAAAGTGTTGGTGTTGACCTTTAAAGCCCTAAATGGGCTTGGCACAGTATACCTGAAGGAGTGTCTCCACCCTCATCGTTCTGCCCGGACACTGAGGTCCAGCGCTGAGGGCATTCTGGCGGTTCCTTCACTGCGAGAAGCTAAGCTACAGGGAACCAGGCAGAGGGCTTTCTCAGTAGTGGCACCCGCCCTATGGAATGCCCTCCCATCAGATGTCGAAGAGATAAACAACTACCTGACATTTAGAAGATATCTGAAGGCTGCCCTGTTCAGGGAAGTTTTTGATATTTTAATGTATTCTTAATCTTTGTTGGAAGCCACCCAGACTGGTTGGAGAAACCCAGCCAGATGGGCGGGGTACAAATAATAAATTACTATTACTATTATTATTACTATTACTCCTGTGCAAACACAAAACATTGGCAGGCCAGACAGGGGAATACGAGTGCAAGCACACACCTCACCCTACTTTTAGCCAATACTCACACTTGTCTGCGTTCTTTTGGATCACTGTAGGGTAGCTTGGATCCCGGACGATGTCTCCCCAATTGATAGTATCCGCATGACACAACTGCTGGTTCCTCCCAATGTAGACACCCCCAGACAGGATTTCTGAAAAACAATAAGAGGCAGCTGTGACCACTTTCCTTCTGGGAGATGTGAGACACCAAAATATCTGTGTGAGAAATAGCCAGCATGCACACTGTGCACATCCAACTTCTATATACAGTGGTACCTTGGTTCTCAAATGCCTTGGTACTCAAACAATTTGGAACCCAAACACTGCAAACCAGGAAGTGTTCTGGTTTGCGAACTCTTTTCGGAAGCCAAAAGTGCTCTGTATTGAGTGTTGTGCTTCCAATCTGAGTGCCACACTTCTGTTTTGAGTGTTACGCTGAGGTCTGTCTGTTTTTGCTATTTATTTTGCTTTGTTTTTGTGGCTCTTTTTTTGTGACTGTGTGGAACCCAGTTCAGCTACTGATTGATTATGCTTTCATTTTATGGATCAATGGTCTCGTTAGATAGTAAAATTAATGTTAAATGGCTGTTTTAGGGGTTGTTTTTAAAAGTCTGGAACGGATTAATGCATTTTGCATTACTTTCTATGGGAAAGCGTGCCTTGGTTTTGGAACGCTTTGGTTTTGGAATGGATTTCTGGAATGGATTAAGTTTGAGAACCAAGGTACCACTGTACTGAAAATGAAAGCAACCCTTTTCAGAACTCTTTCCGGAACAGATTATGAACCTATGGAAGACAAGCATGTGCAGTCCCACTTCCTCTAGCTCCACAGAATCATATAAAATCTGAAATGGACTAGGATGGACTCCCAAAGAGGTTTCCCCACTCTCTGAATTCTCTCCACTATTATAATAATTCTCTCCACTGCTATGATCACTGCCTAACTCTCATTTCTATGGCTTTGCTGAGCAGTCTCCTTTTCCCCTTCAGACCTCTTCTCCACCAACTTCTTATTTATGCATTATTCTATTTAAATATATTTATAGCCTAACCTTTCATCACAACCAACCCAGGGCAGGGCACAACCATAACACCGAACAAATTAAAACAATACACAAATCCATTTCGATTCACAGAGGGAACAAGAACAAGATAAAAGCGTAATTAAAAAGGCAGTCTTTAAAAACAGCAAAGCAGTCTTTGTCCTTCCAGCGTATGTGCTCGCTAAATTAAACAAGTTACCTTACAAAGGCCCGAGCAAATCGCTGAGTCTTGATCTGGCACTAAAAACAAAGTTGCTGTCATTACTACTTTCCCTGGAGCCATTTTTGTGGAGCGACTCATTGCCCGCACTTACAGTACAATCCTATACGTGTCTATTCAGGAGTTAAGTGGGGCTTGCTCCCAGGCAAATGCCTATACGACTGTGGTCACAGTCTCCCTTGCTTCCTTGTCATCCTTCAGCAACAGGAGTGTGTGTGTGTGTGTGTTTGTGTGTGTGTGTGTGTGTGTGTGTGTTTTGAAGCAACACATTTGTCCCTTAACAGCAAGCTGCTTAACAAACTGAGTTCTGGAGACTTAATGAGTCCTTACCAGCAGAGGGCTGGGAGCTACCACTGTTTTTTTTCAGACTTCCAAAGTACTCTTCGGATACACAGTCATACCTTGGAATCCGTTCTAGAAGTCCGTTCAAATTCCAAAACATTTGGAAACCAAAGTGCGGCTTCTGATTGGCTGCGGGAAGCTCCTGCAGCCAATCAGAAGGCGCGGAAGGCCCATTGGATGTTCGGGTTCCAAAGAATGTTCACAAAACATTTGCAAAACTCACTTCCCGGTTTGCGGCATTCAGGAGCCAAAACATCCGTGTACCAAGGCGTTTGGGATCCAAGGTACGACTGTATAAGCGAATAGGTATATCAGCCTCCCTATAAGCGGCTGGCGGGCCATTTATACCCAACCAGGCTGGGTATAAATACTATTTATTAAATTTGCCCTTGCTGGCTTGATGAAATTGGTGCTTTCACAGTACAGTGGTACCTCTGGTTATGAACTTAATTCGTTCTGGAGGTCCATTCTTAATCTGAAACTATTCTTATCCTGAGGCGCGCTGTCGCTAATGGGGCTTCCGGTTCGCGATTTCCATTCGCATCCTGGGACAAAGTTCGCAACCAGGAGCAGCTACTTCTGGGTTAGCGGAGTTTGTAACCTGAAGCGTTTGTAACCAGAAGCGTTTGTAACCAGAAATACCACTGTATTACCTCACCCTGACGTCTGTTTACTTTTTTCCAGCTCTCCACAATCAAGGCTTATGGGCCTTGGTTACCCATTTGGAGGTGTCATGTGTTAAAGGCGCTCAAGGTAGTAAACATGGTTCCCCCAATATTATCATCATAACAACGCTGTATACAGTGGTACCCCGCAAGACGAACGCCTCGCGAGACGAAAAACTCGCAAAACGAAAGGTTTTTTCGTTTTCGAGTTGCCTCGCAAGACGAATTTCCCTATGGGCTTGCTTCGCAAAACAAAGCTTGCCCGGGGACAGCGGGTCTTCTCTTTTGAAGCAAGGGGCGGCGGGGAGATCGCTTCTCCCCACCGCCCCTTGCTTCAAAAGAGGTCTGCCCCCGGACCTCTTTTGAAGCAAGGGGCTGCGGGGAGATCGCTTCTCCCGGTGCTCCGAAGTGGGGTGGGGGGGGCGGGAACACCTGCCCCAGCCGCCGGGCTTCGTAGCGCTGCTGCGAAGCCGGGCGGGGGGCGGGAACACCTGCCCCAGCCACCCCGCTTCGGAACGCTGCTCCGAAGCGGGGGGGGGGGCGGGAACACCTGCCCCAGCCGCCGGGCTTTTTAGCGCTGCTGCGAAGCCGGGCGGGGGGCGGGAACACCTGCCCCAGCCACCCCGCTTCGGAACGCTGCTCCGAAGCGGGGTGGGGGGGCGGGAACACCTGCCCCAGCCGCCGGGCTTCGTAGCGCTGCTGCGAAGCCGGGCGGGGGGCGGGAACACCTGCCCCAGCCACCCCGCTTCGGAACGCTGCTCCGAAGCGGGGTGGGGGGGCGGGAACACCTGCCCCAGCCGCCGGGCTTCGTAGCGCTGCTGCGAAGCCGGGCGGGGGGCGGGAACACCTGCCCCAGCCACCCCGCTTCGGAACGCTGCTCCGAAGCGAGGTGGGGGGGCGGGAACACTTGCCCCAGCCACCAGGCTTCGTAGCGCTGCTGCGAAGCCGGGCGGGGGGCGGGAACACCTGCCCCAGCCACCCCGCTTCGGAACGCTGCTCCGAAGCGGGGTGGGGGGCGGGAACACCTGCCCCAGCCACCCCGCTTCGTAGCGCTGCTGCGAAGCCGGGCGGGGGGCGGGAACACCTGCCCCAGCCACCCCGCTTCGGAACGCTGCTCCGAAGCGGGGTGGGGGGGCGGGAACACTTGCCCCAGCCACCGGGCTTCGTAGCGCTGCTGCGAAGCCGGGCGGGGGGCGGGAACACCTGCCCCAGCCACCCCGCTTCGGAACGCTGCTCCGAAGCTGGGTGGGGGGGCGGGAACACTTGCCCCAGCCGCCGGGCTTCGTAGCGCTGCTGCGAAGCCGGGCGGGGGGCGGGAACACCTGCCCCAGCCACCCCGCTTCGGAACGCTGCTCCGAAGCGGGGTGGGGGGCGGGAACACTTGCCCCAGCCACCGGGCTTCGTAGCGCTGCTGCGAAGCCGGGCGGGGGCGGGAACACCTGCCCCAGCCACCCCGCTTCGGAACGCTGCTCCGAAGCGGGGTGGGGGGGCGGGAACACTTGCCCCAGCCACCGGGCTTCGTAGCGCTGCTGCGAAGCCGGGCGGGGGGCGGGAACACCTGCCCCAGCCACCCCGCTTCGGAACGCTGCTCCGAAGCTGGGTGGGGGGGCGGGAACACTTGCCCCAGCCGCCGGGCTTCGTAGCGCTGCTGCGAAGCCGGGCGGGGGGCGGGAACACCTGCCCCAGCCACCCCGCTTCGGAACGCTGCTCCGAAGCGGGGTGGGGGGGCGGGAACACTTGCCCCAGCCACCGGGCTTCGTAGCGCTGCTGCGAAGCCGGGCGGGGGGCGGGAACACCTGCCCCAGCCACCCCGCTTCGGAACGCTGCTCCGAAGCGGGGTGGGGGGGCGGGAACACTTGCCCCAGCCACCGGGCTTCGTAGCGCTGCTGCGAAGCCGGGCGGGGGGCGGGAACACCTGCCCCAGCCACCCCGCTTCGGAACGCTGCTCCGAAGCGGGGTGGGGGGGCGGGAACACCTGCCCCAGCCGCCGGGCTTCGTAGCGCTGCTGCGAAGCCGGGCGGGGGGCGGGAACACCTGCCCCAGCCACCCTGCTTCGGAACGCTGCTCCGAAGCGGGGTGGGGGGGCGGGAACACTTGCCCCAGCCACCGGGCTTCGTAGCGCTGCTGCGAAGCCGGGCGGGGGGCGGGAACACCTGCCCCAGCCACCCCGCTTCGGAACGCTGCTCCGAAGCGGGGTGGGGGGCGGGAACACCTGCCCCAGCCGCCGGGCTTCGTAGCGCTGCTGCGAAGCCGGGCGGGGGGGGGGGCGGGAACACCTTCTGAAGGCGGGCGGGGGGCGAAAGTCTTTGTCCCCCCTGCCTGCCTTCCCAGGGGCTTTTAAATCGCCCCGGACAGCGGAGAAGTCCTCCGCTGTCCCGGGGCGATTTTAAAATGCCGCCCGCCAGCATTTTAAGATCGCCCGGACAGCGGAGAAGTCCTCCGCTGTCCCAGGGTTTTTTAAAATGCTGGGGGTGGGAAGAAAAGCCCTTGTCCCCCCCCCCCCCCAGCCTTCAGAAGAGGTCCGGGGACAGTCTGTCCCCGGACCTGGTCTGAAGGCGGTTTCCCTAGGAACGCATTAATTGATTTTCAATGCATTCCTATGGGAAACCGTGCATCGCAAGACGAAAAAACCGCAAGACGAAGAGACTTGCGGAACGAATTAATTTCGTCTTGCGAGGCACCACTGTAATAGATTGGGCTGAGATCCTAGTGAGTTTCATGGCTCAGTGAGGATCCGAACCCTGATCTCATACTCCAATCAACGCACCACACATGCAGACCCTCCAAAGTTTTCCAGGGACAGTCCTGGATTTACAGAAGCCTCCCAGTTTCTGATTTGATCCCAGAATGTCCCGCTTTTTCCTTTGAATGTTTTCATTGGA